TCAATAAACTGACTTTTGTGACATCTATTGAAATTAAATGTGTGATAAACCATTTAAATTTAAAGACAGAATCATGGGCCTAAATTTAACTTAAATGTATATCAGTGTTGTTGACATTTACTTGAAATTTTCATTAGTCATGATTACAGATACCTTTAAAAGGTTTTATTTCACTACACCAGTTGTATTAGCATTTTTGCATCATCTCTACTGATACATTGAATTTCATTCAACATTTCTAATACTAATAGTTCTTACATGTCTATTCTTTGCAGTCTTATTTTCATGTTTACTATAGAACAAGCAGATTCATTTTAAACTCATATGAAGTACAAGATGAGCACAGATATTCATTTGGAGCATATTATCTGATTACACCCTTAAAAAAACTTTTTTAGATACGAAACTAATAGCAGCTAACTACACTTTGATTAGAAAGATTTTTAAAAAATCATTTAAGGTATTGTAATAAACTGTTTTAGGTATTGAAAACCACTTATGAAAATAGGTAGGTTTTTTTTATTGAAGTTATTTAGGACCTACCCATTTTTTAAAGATGAGATTTTATAGCCAGTCACGCTAAGTTGAAATACATTATTTTGTGGCTTTTGTTTCCTTTTATAGTGGTATGGTCACATTGGCATTAAAAAAAAATTTGTGGTGATAGTGTTTTTAAAAAAAAATGTAAATTTATATATCTGAAGATAAGAGACATGGATGGAATAAAGTCTGGGCCAGTTGCTAAAGCTCACTTGTACAGGAGAAGGCGATTGAAGTAAAGTTTTTTTTGTTAAGATTTGTGTTTCAAATATTTGAAGAAGCAGCTTCATAGCTTGCCATAGTAGATTCTAGTAAAGATTTGTGTTTCAAATATTTGAAGAAGCAGCTTCATAGCTTGCCATAGTAGATTCTAGTAAAGATTTGTGTTTCTAATAATTGAAGAAGCAGCTTCATAGCTTGCCATAGTAGATTCTAGTAAAGATTTGTGTTTCAAATAATTGAAGAAGCAGCTTCATAGCTTGCCATAGTGGATTCTAGTTTGATTTGAAATTTAATGTAATATTACAAAATTTCATTAAAAAAACGTTTTAATAACAAGCTTTCATGTACTAATGCACTAAAAAGTAGAAAATAAATGAGTTTCTTTAAATATATAGTAATATAATACACTACCATTTATATAACTATAAAGAAAATATTAGTAAAAGTATCCTATAGATAATATAGTGACCCACGCTTTTCTTTATAGTTATATAAATAGTAGTGTGGAGTAGTTGGATAGAACTGCCTACTAATTTGGTCAAATTTTTAATGAACTCATAAAAAATTAATCAGGCGACCAATTAAGTCAAATTGAATGTCATGATGCATTGTCTTCATGTCTTGACCGACGTATCAAATACGAACCGTATCTGTCTGTCAGAAGTGCTGCAATTTCGCTCGGGGGTTTCGATCTAGACAGACAGACAAACTGACGAGGAAGTTAGTTAAATAAAAGCTTGTAAAAAAGGGTCGTAGATCTAACAGTCTCTAAACAATAAAGACACATCCCCCCATTTGCTTATGTACCAACTTTAGTTCAGTCTCTCATCTACACGGTTCAGCTGGAACAAGACATTGATGTGAACTTGTATTATATTGAAAAATACCTGCACATACAGAGGCTGAAGGAGCTGAGAGAGTTGAGTGCCAGTTTACAGGATGATAACTGGAAGTATGACCCAGCGGAGAAGCTGACTGGTCTACAGTGATGTAACTCTAGCAGTTTGTTGTGATATTTGGACCAGTTGGGGTCAGAAACAACTGTCCATTTGGGTGTATGTTTAGTCAGGGCCTGATTTTGTGACTACACTGTACCCAGACACCAATAGCTGTTGGGGTAAAGCTTAAATAAGGACTGGAAAAAAAAAAGGAACAATTCCTTGAATATTCAACTGGTTTCTTGTGTAGTTACAGTAGGTGGTTATCCAGTGGGTTTTTTTCAAGCTTATATTACTTTGTGGTTTATACATGCTTGTGTTACATTATGTGGTTTTTAACAAGAACTTTCAAATTACCATTAATCAAATACAATGGAAGAAACAGTGTTGATGCGTTTATAAATATAAGTTGATGCATTTGTAATATTAGTTTAATTTGCTCGTAAGCTACAATTTTATTTATTTTTAACATTGGATTGATGCATTTATTTTTTTAATGAGTGGAGTTGCTCCAATAAGTGGGATTTGATGCAAATAAATTAAACTGTAAAGGTAAAAAAATTATATATCAGAAGACATAGGAGGACTGCTATGGATATAGCTGTTTGAAAGGGAAGAATGAGTGATTTATTGTGTCTCATTTTACTTACATATCATTCATGCAACTTATAATGTTTATAATACTATTGTTCTTTTATCCCAATTTTATTTCAGCTCTAGTTGTAAGCCAATACTCCCACAAGTCACCCCATCGAAAAAGAAAATTGCCCTTTCATTTTTTCTATTTATTTTTTTTCTCCATAGAACATAAAATCACCTTTAAATTACGCATTTAAATTCATGGGTTAAATTTAAATTAGGCGTTTTTTATTCTGTTAAAATAAGTAAACCATTTTAAGTGAACGAAAGTACACGTCAGAAAGAAGTATTACAATTGTAAATCTCTATCAGTCCTCACAAGCCGATGATGAAAACTAATACTAAAGCGAACATGTCTAGGTAAACTGACGCTGTAAATTTGCATGTCTGAGGCAATTTTTTAAAAAAATCTTAACCAAAAATCGTCAACAAAAACATTACGCCATTAACGGACAAACACGCACACAACGGCGACTGGAAAGTTTCGCAACGGAAAACTGAGCACATAAAGTGCGCAAGGGAAATTTAGTTTTCTAAAATCGAGCATTTGTAAACATTAAAAGGAATAACCCTTGTGCATTGTAGCATAATAAATTACTTTTCCACGAACTTTGACAAAATTAAAGTGTATTAGTATAATTACTAGTATTTGCGCTTCTTTCTGTTTGCGCACTTTTCCTTTTGCGCATCTTTCTGTTTGCGTAGTTTTCCGTTGCGCACTTATTCGTTGCGCAACTTTCCGTTTGCGCATTTTTCTGAGAACCACACGTAACGTACAGAGTTTCTTCCAGGCATCTCTTTGGGGGGGGGGGGCAGAAAGTCTACCGCCCCCCCCCCCCCCCCCCCGAACGACATAGATTTTATACAGTTAACATACACTTTTACTAGTGTCCGCCCCCCCCCCCCCGAAAAATGTTGACCGCCCCCTCGAAAATATCAAGTGCCCCCCCCCCCCCCCGGAGAAAAAAGTCTGGAAGAAACACTGTTTCCAGATTGTATCGTATTGAGCTCCGTATCTGAATGTCGCCTGCAGATTACAAAAAGGTTTTTGTTTCTAAGTTGTGAGCAAAAAGTTTAGGTTACTTTTGGTATAATTTGTTAATGCAGCCTTTTACTAGGTAATAAAGACATAAAGCAACGTGTGTGAATATAGCTGAAAGAAAGTAATGATTAATAAAACAAAAGTGTGATTATGTTCAACACAAATCCAGGGAGTCGGGTAAAAATAGTGATTGCAAGAAACTGTGACATGTGTACTGATATTTCATATACTCGCCCTATACGATATACAACTTTTTAATTATTCCTATTGCAATCCAAGTTCAGGACATATTTCTTCAGTTCAAACAAATTGAAAAAAAAACAACCAACAGACAACAGATTTTTTATAAAAAAATTAAGAACGATAACCGTTTGAGGTTGGTTACTTCCCCTTCTTCTGTTTACAACATTGATACTAACAAAGCAATACAAAGTCCATTACATTGCCTTGGTGACGCCCGTCGTCCATGTTTACTGTGTCCACTGTTGACCTAATCTATTGTCAAGTGATGTTTGTACAACAGACAGGGATCGATAATTCTAGAAGAGAAGCCTTTGAACTATTATTGAACTTGTCATTATCCATGTTTTCGCGATATTTTGTAATTTGCAAGGCTGTTTGGATGATATCTTAATGCAAACTCCATTTAAGGAAACTTGGATAAGATTGACCTATAATCTATAGAGGTATTGGGGATCTGGGATTTATGTTAGCAGAGTTTGTTACAGGCATCTCTTCGGGGGGGGGGGGGGGGGGGGGGGGTGGCAGAGCTCCCCCCCCCCATCGAAGAAGGTCTACCCCACCCCCCCCCCCCCCGAACGAAATGGAATTTATATAGAAAACATATACTTTTACTAGTGTCTGCTCCCAACCCCGGAAAATGTTGTCCCACCCCCTCCCCCTCGAAAATATCAAATATCAAGTGCCCCCCCCCCCTACCCCCCATGGAGAAAAAAGTCTGGAAAAACCACTGTATGTTAGCATCAATAATACTTCATTTGTACTCACGTGCACTCTACTTCAGCTACACCAGGAGGACAATTCGTTGATTGCATCCAAGATAAGGTGTCTTACATAGTCGAACTACAGTTTTTGTTGCTGATACAGTGTGTGATTCTCAGTGTAAATAAATAGGTAATAACAATTTACATTAGTTTTGAAGTCTTTATTTAAACATCTAGAGTTATCGGATTTTCCCCTTTGATGTAGAAGTCAACAGCTGTCAAGGCTGTGTGAGCCACAATAAGACACGAGCGTGCTGTGATCAACGTGAGTACACGGGAACACATGTGCTGAATACTATCGCATAGCAATAAAACACTAAAAATAATGTTATGTAAAGTTTGATGAATGAAGACAACGTTAATTAATAGAAGACTGCTACACTTGTAAGTACATTATCTGACTTAGTGGTGTGTTTGTGTGGTGTTCCTATGGGGGAAATAATAATTTCTTTTTCTTTAAAAATATAACATCGGTTGGTTGGTTAAGAACCTAAATCTATGTCGGAATGATTCGGCAACAACTTTGTTCAATGTACCAACAAAAGCAATTTATATGTTTTGTATCCTTAGAAAACAAAGATTCGCCTTCTCCAATGACCTAACACAGTAGATAAGAGTTCAAGTGGCGAATGTGTTGTGTGTTGTAAATACATTGTTGAACGTAGCAAGTCGACTGTATGTTTATGCAGCTGCGAGAGTTAGTTTAGATTTAGGGCAGGGCACAGCTGTAGCTAGCTGTGTTAAACTAGGACTAGACAGTTGTAAATAGCTGTGTTAAACTAGGGTTGCAGCCGATTGTTTAGATTAAACTAGTGCTGTATACAGCTGTAGATAGCTGTATTAAACTAGAGCTGCAGTCAGCTGTACATAGCTTTAGCTATAACAATGGGAGACACACTGAGTGTAGAAGAACACAATCATCAAGTTTTTAGAAGCCTAAAGCCAGGAGACATAGTCAAGATTCCTCGCGGGGAGTATTGCCATTTCGTGTTGTATATTGGTGAGTTAATTACTTCTTTTATCTACGGGGTTTGAATAGTCTTATATTCTCATTTCGTATAAATAATTGATATACCTTTAGTAGAGTTTATGTAGTGGAATTTTTTGGAGGAGGGAGGGGGGTTGTTTATTATTTTCTTTACATCAGTCAATTCTTTATATACTTGTATGTTTACTTTTCCTTAAATTTTTTTCATCTTTTTTGTTAACCTTCTCTATTTATAGTTGGGCTTTCTGTTGATAGAACCAAATGCAATTAACAAAAGTATAGTGTATTGGCGACTATATTGTTCATGTTTAGTTATTTTATAAAGTTCGATATATATATATATATATATATATATATATATATATATATATATATATATATATATATATATACTTATACCAGTGTCCACCCCACCCCCCTGGAAAATGTAGCCTGCCCCCCCCCCCCGAAAACATCAAGTGCTCCCCCCCCCCCGGATAAAAATGTCTGTAAAAAACACTGATGGTCTGTTCTTGTACCCAACCCACAGGTAAAGGTAAAGTGGTCCACCTGACCTCGCCAGACAGTGGCCAGTGCAACTCTAACGACTTCCGGTCACGTGATTTCGGACATCCGGGTTCTATGGCCGAGGACAATTTTTTCTCAGTGGCGGGGGAGGAAAAGGTTTACAAGGCTGACAAAGAGTAAATAAATTAAATGGTATATTGGTTACACGATTATAACAGTTGATATGTTATAAGTTTAAACCAGAGGCGTAGCGACCCTTCCCGGCGGCCGGGGACAAACTTTCGATTTGCACCCCCACTCGAACTTTTCATTTGCACCCCCCCTTCAAACTTTCAATTTTGGCGCCCCCCTAAGATCGGCGCCGGGGACATATGTCGCCCCCCCCCGCCCCACCCCCCCCCCCCCTCGCAACGCCTCTGGTTTAAACTCTAAGATGACATTTTATGATGAAAAATTCGTTTGCGCTACTCTGAAATCTAGTGTTAGCTTTTAATTTAGATTCTGAACAAATTTAAATCAGAAGTACCTATCTTTTATGTTTATTAATTTATTTTAAGATAATTGATTAGGCGTCAGCAGGACATATTTAATTCTAGAATGTTGCTAGTATCACTATCCTAGCTTCCAAACCCAGGCCCCAAATCTATCCCACACACTGAGTGCGACCATTTTAACATGACCAAACCTAGCACATACACTGAGTGCGACCATTTCAACGTGATCAAATCTATCCCACACACTGAGTGCGACCATTTCAACATGACCAAACCTAGCACATACACTGAGTGCGACCATTTCAACGTGATCAAATCTATCCCACACACTGAGTGCGACCATTTCAACATGACCAAACCTAGCACACACACTGAGTGCGACCATTTCAACGTGACCAAACCTAGCCCATACATTGAGTGCTACCATTTCAACGTGACCAAACCTAGCCCATACATTGAGTGCGACCATTTCAACGTGACCAAACCTAGCCCACACACTGAGTGCGACCATTTCAACGTGATGCTTGCACAAATGAAGATATTAATTTTCTATTTACTGCCGGCCTGTTTTAAGCATTCATACGTTTTAAAGTTTTCTAGTTGAATGTATTACTGAAATACATATTTTAATCATTTAATTAAAATCATTTAAATTATTAAAAATCCAAATTTAATCAAAACCGAACATGATCAGTTTGTAGCCTATATGAAAAATTGAAATACTATTATAAGTAGTAGCCGAGACTACAATATTGGTTATCAATCCAAGATACGCTTGTTTAAGCAAAGTATCTCAAATATTATTTATGTAACAAGTCGATTTAATAAAATAGAAAAATACGATGCTTAGAATACGCCTCTATAATTGGAATGCAGTTAGTGATTGTATCTCTATTACCGCTACACATAATATTAAGAACCATGGCCCACATCGTAGGTTATCTTTAACAAACAAAACCTCTGTTCGTGTTACTTGTAATTATGTCTAGATAAAACAAACGTCTTCATGACTGAAGTAATTTTTTTATTGCAGGGAATGGCCCAATTTTAATCTGGGACTAGTTCTAAGAAAGGCCAAATTGAAACTAGGAGATTCGGATTACCATTTGCTAACTAGCCGTTGTGAAAACATAGTTAACGAGCTGAATTATGGGAAAAATCAGAGTGACAAGGTAGGCTATATGTGTTGTAAAATGAAAGTGTGCACCAAACGTTGGTAAGGTTTTCCTTGTAACTAAATCAGAGGCGTAGCGAGGGGAGGGGGGGGGGGCGGGAGGGGGACATATGTCCCCGGGCGCCGACCTTAGGGGGGCGCCAAAATGGGTTGGAAAAAAAATTTGAAAGTTTGAGGGGGGGGGGGGGGAGGTGCAAATGAAAAGTTCGAGGGTGGGGGGGGGTGCAATTCGAAAGTTTGTCCCCGGGCGCCGGGAAGGGTCGCCGCTACGCCTCTGAACTAAATATACGCAACATGGTACGGGTATGTGTGTTATCAAACTGTGTTGTTGTCTACGCGCACATCTATTGCGCAGCTCATCGCCACACAAACCTATAGGAAATTATAAAATAGTAAACACAAACACATTAGAATACAAACAAAATGTTTGCGTGAACTCTAACAGGAATAGACATACCGATTTAGTAAACAGCATCTTTAAAATTGAAGGATAGATAAACTATTTGAAGATAGCTACGGACTTAAACTAGGAAATAATCATAGATAAGTGCTAATGTTGATATTCTTTGATAACACACTATAAGAAATTAGGTCACTGTCTTATTACCGGAGTAACAATGAAGTTGTTATTCAACAACACACTATTTTATAACGATACATGGTGGCAAAGATAGAGATACAGGCATCGAAGGGTACATAACAATAACACACTAAACAAATCACGTGACTTAACACACTGAAATAAATCAAGAGACACAACAACACACGTGACAAACACACACGTTCTCATAGTCCACTTAGGGTGACAATTTGCCTAGCGTGACGTTTTGTGACGTGGCTTATGTAAGCCGCTTTCATCCTTAACCTCATCTACCCGCTGTTGTTTTACAGGTGGCCAAGACTGCTGAAGTGACCAAGAGTGCTGATGTTACACCTGCTCTGGTTGGAGCTGGCGTTGGAGCGGTGCTTCTGGCCGGTGCTGCCGCTGTGGTTGGTGTGGTGGTGCATAACAAGCTGTCTAAAAATAAATAACTGACTGGCCACATCTTGTCTTCAACTGCCATCGTGTTGTGATTATTTATTTATATATATATATATATATATATATATATATATATATATATATATATATATATATATATATATATATATATATATATATATATATATAATAAACACACCCTATATAGTCATTCCTTGTAATTAATCTGGGGATTTTGATTGTTGTACCTTAATTCTACAAAGTGTGATGTTGATTTCTGTGTCAGGTATCAAAGTGTGAATGTGACGTACCAAAGTGTGATGTTGATGTATGTGTCACGTATCAAAGTGTGATGTTGATGTCTGTGTGACGTACCAAAGTGTGATGTTGAAGTCTGTATCACGCATCAAAGTGTCTGTGGTTTGGGTTGCAGTAAACATGTACTAAAACAAATTAATGTAAAAACGTTTATAAAATCAAGGCTAGAAACGAATTGAAACTAAGAAAACGTAACAAAGTTGCTTTCTTATATCAAAAGCTTTCATCGCTAAAATATATTAGAATTACAATCTATTGGTATAAAATAAATGAATTTAAACCTGTGCAATGTATTTGTTTGATAATAAAATATTCGGATGATATGACTTATGTGTTCGTTTGTATTTGTAAACAAAGGTATCAGTATAGAAAACTCGACATTCGGCATTAAATTCTCAAAATGTTTGTAATTTTTATATTTAAGTGAAAGCTTGTACAGATTTTACGTCTAGTAGTTATTTTTTTTTAAACTTAGGCAGTTTAATTAATTTTTCTAATTAAAAATACTATAGTATGTAAATTATGGTGTAGTAAATAAATAAATGAATAAATAAATACATATGTTATATTATTTCATTTGCTTCGAATAACATTTTTTGTGTGCTAAGTATGAAATCTTGTGAATATTTCATATGTGACTTTATACACATACTTTTCTACATGTTACTGTATTATTTAACTTTCCTACCTGTGACTTTTTACGTGATTGTTCTACTTTTCTAAAGGATGCAAATAAATTTAAAGGGAATTAAAAAGAATTAACACACGAACGTGCAGAATGCTTAGAAAAAATGTAACTTGCAATTGGAAGGATTGATGGAGTGTTTTAATTACTTCAATATCCAGCTCATGTTGTGGTTGAAAATCAGTTTCAGATTCACGCTGAAACACGTGAAATGTCCGGTTTTCCCCATGAGGCATTCTACGAATCATGTACAGCTAGTGTCAGTCCATTTAGAGACATAGGCGTGTCGTACTTCGCTTGATTCAGGCCTTTAGTATTGACGTTATAGTGAAAACAACATTGATTTTCGGGGGGGGGGGGGGGGGGGGGTAGCTAAATTTGTCATGTGTCGCCAATCGTTGCCACTTACGGTTCCATACTTCAAGAGTTCGATAACATTTCCTTGTTTAAATAGGGCTGTGTATAGTTGATCACGGGTATTTTAAAACAAGGATATAGTACACCGTGTATAGGTACTCTATAGCTTACCGTGTATAGATAGTCAAAACTAGAGTTTAATTCACACCACCCGCTGAGCTTTAGATAGCCTCCACAACGACCATGGGAGATAACTTAAGCGTAGAGGAACACAATGAGGACGTTTTTAGAAGCCTAAAGCCAGGGGATATTGTCAAGTTTGATCGTGGGGCTTATTGACATTTCGCCTTGTATATCGGTAAGTTAAAATAGTATATCGGTAAGTTAACATAGTATATTGGTAAATTTAACATAGTATATTGGTAAGTTAATATAGTATATTGGTAAGTTAACATAGTATATCGGTAAGTTAACATAGTATATTGGTAAATTTAACATAGTATATTGGTAAGTTAATATAGTACATTGGTAAGTTAACATAGTATATCGGTAAATTTAACATAGTATATTGATAAGTTAACATAGTATATCGGTAAATTAACATAGTATATTGGTAAATTTAGCATAGTATATTGGTAAGTTAATATAGTAAATCATAATGTTAGCATAGTATATCGGTAGGTTATCATAGTATATCGGTAAGTTAAGATAGTATATCGGCAATTTAACATAATATATCTATAAGTTAACATAGTATATCAGTACGTTAACATAGTATATCGGTAAGTTAACAGAGTTTATCGGTAATTTAACATAATATATCGGTAAGTTAACATAGTATATCGGTAAGTTAACATAGTATATCGGTAAGTTAACATAATATTTTGATGCTTGAACGTTTACTATTATATCTTTTATAAATTGTTAATTAAAATATCTTTGGATTTCGTAAAATAGATAGTAACAGGATGTTGTACTGTATTATTAAATGGTGATTAAAAAACAACCCACTGTATTTCACGACGATAATGATGTCCTGACTACACATTAGGCTAAATTCTTCGTGTAGCCTCACTTTATCCAACTAAACAGAAAAAAAAAAAAAATCCTTTTCTACCTTACGTCAAGTTTCTTGTCTTTATTTAGATTTGAAGATGATTACCTTGCTTTTCTTTATGTACTGTGTACTTTCTTCCCGACTATTCCATTGAGGATGAACTTGACAGAATATGCTAATTTACGTATGATTTTTACTCCTTTCAGAGAATGGTAGAACTCTGGTCAGTTATTTTAGGGCAGGTGAGAGGGGGGAGGGAGGGGGGGGGGGGAATGCAGCGACTTATTTTTTTACATCCAAAATATGTTTACAAATGGGGTGACAAAAGATTGATTATCACCGTTACATCAACACAAAGTGTGTTTTATTTTATTTTTAGTTCATTTAAAATCTTGTGATTTGTACGGATTTTGTTTACCTGTTTTGCTGGACTAACCTGCTGGTTTACGTCACCCACAGGTCAAGGTAAAGTGATCCACCTGACGGCTCCAGACAACGGTCACGGCATATCCGGCAACATCCGGCCACGTCACGTGGCATCAGTGGCCAGTGTTCCAGTGGACAAGGCTGTTGTAGCAGAAGATGATTTTTTCTTTGTGGCAGGCCACGACAGAGCTTACAAGGCCAACAGAGAGTAAATTATTTTTTAAAAGCTGCTTCATTTAATTTAAATTTATAAGAAAAAAAAATAATTTAAAAAAATTAAAAAATGCCATTTTGAAACTGCTCATGGTAGACAAAATATACGAAATTGCAATGAAAGCCACATGACGTATTTTGATATTAATTGGTTACATCTCTTCAGAAAGGAAAACAGCTTATTTTTTTTTAGAAAGGGTTGGAAGGGGGATGGGTTAGTTCAATTCTGAACGCTGGTCCTTCAATGGTTAGTATGACATTTTTGACGGACGACTACAATTCATAGATTTACCAATACCTTAAAAGCAATTTTTTAATGTTGAAATATCTATATTGTACTTTGAAACTGTTTTATTAAACGCAATAAATTTAATAAAAACAAGTAAAAAAAAGTACGATATAATCACCCACACAACAAACCAAAAACATAATACGCCTTAGTACAAACTTAATCGTCTGATATACATTGTTTAAGTGTAGTCAGTGGCGTCGCTAAGTCGGGTGTCATTTCATGGTGTCACCCCCCTTTATTTTCTCTGTAAATTTAGCAGTTGGTGTCGACTCCCCTTCCCCTCCCGATAAAAGCTTTAAAGTGTTCAAACTTAATACTCCCCTAAATGATGTTCCCCGATGCGTTCCGCACCCACCTCACGACGCCTCTGAGTGTAATTGATTAAGTATTGTAGAGGTATCTAGCCCAGTCAGGCTATTAAATTTAAAAAAAAATCTACTCAAGAAAGCTGGCTAATTAAAGATTACTGTAAAAGCCTACTACAAAAAGCATATAGCTACTCTATTTTCAGATAAGCGAATCGAGATAGTTGGTATTAAAAAAAACACAACACAAAATCGGTAAAGTTTAAAACCTGTTTGTTTCAGGGAGTGGCCTAGTTTCGATATCGATTTGGTTCTCAGGAAAGCCAAACAGAAACTAGGAAATAAGGAGTATCATTTACTTACCAGTAACTGTGAACATTTTGTGAATGAGATAAAGTATGGTAGAAATCAAAGTAATCAGGTAGGGCCTTTAGAATGTAGAGGTACAAAAGACATTTTCACTATTTTGGGTAATTGACAGTGGGCGGTGGGGGAGGGGTAAATTGACTAGATGACAATAACCTGGGGCCATTAGTTACATATGACATGACATACATATACTGTCGTCTGGTGACATGACGTGACTTTAACCTTTAACCCCAATTAACCTCTGATGTCTACAGGTAACAGTTGCAGCAGGTGTAACGGGAGGGGTGGGTGGAGCAGCAGTGATTTTGGGGGTTGCTGCGGTTCTCGTTGGTGTGATGGTGTATAGAAAACAGACCAGAACCAAAGACTAAATCATAAGGCTTATTGTGTTGTCGTTACTTATCATTTTAAAATGTTTTTGCAGGATCTATAAAGCATTGTATTAAAATTGTATACGTATTAATTCTCGTATGCCACTGTTTTAGTTTGATTCCTCATTTACAACCCAAACTGTATGCGACACATAGGCCTAAATACTTCGCATGGGTAATTTACACTTTTTAGAGAATTAATCATGATCGCGTAAAACAACAATTACATAAATATTTACATCTTTTAATAAAAGAGGCATAAAAACAATAGACATAATTGTAACTAGCAGTTAAATACATAAATCACATCATTCATTCAGAATAGGAGGTACAATCGAGTGAAAGACAAACCTCTAGACCAGGGGTCGGCAACCTGCGGCTCGCGAGCCGCATGCGGCTCTTTTGATGTCAAGATGCGGCTCTCCAGCTCCTTGCACAAATACTGATAATCTTAATCAAAAAATAAAATACTTGAAATAAAAAATTGTTAGTGGCTCTTTAACACCAGGGACATTTTGAAAATTGTAACTTTTGGCTCTTCCGCTTCAAAAGGTTGCCGACCCCTGCTCTACACAGCTCTAAGACGTTGCCAATAGAAATGTTAAACACTCATTATAAAAGCAATGTCCTTGTCTCTAAGTCTTGGATTGATCGTGTAACAATGTGTCTACCTCCATTGTTCTAATGGGTGATCTGTATAGGGTTTCAGGATTTAAAGTCGTCTTTTTGCAGTCTCTCGCGTTCTATTGTTGCAAAAGCCAATCGATAATCGCCAAAAGTCTGAAAGTTTGATCGAATCGCCGCATTAGAAGTGGGTCAAAACTGAGTTACAAGTTCGTCCACAAACCCACAAACAGACACTGGGAACTAAGTAAAAGCTTAAAACATATGGCTACTCAGTTTTCTGAAAAAAAAAGCCTTGTAATATTATGCAGGACTTGGCACTGTAGACCAGTGGCGTTGCGAGGTCGGGTGTCACCCGGTGCGGCACTTAATGGTGTCACCCTCCCAGAGGCGTAGCTACCCTTCCCGGCGCCCGGGACAAACTTTCAATTTGGGGCGCTCTCTGGATCAACCTTTCAATTTTCGATTTTCACCACTCTCAAATTTTCGATTTGCACCCCCCCCCCTCCAAATTTGCTCTTAAAAGACTATCTAACACTCGAGTTAATCACTTTATCATTTTTCTGTAGACTTATTTTTGGACGAACCTTGTCCCAAATGTATATCACAGAGTACAGACAGGCATACTGGCCATTATTTGACAAAGGTTACAATCGTACGAGAACACGGAGGGTGGGGGTGTTCTTTTAATTGGGATCAAATACGAGTCGGCTCATTAACTTTATTCAATGACCTGCAAAGGGGTTCAGGGATTAAAGGGCGATTATTATTTCAGATAAAAATAAACATTCCGTTTATTTTTAATCAACCTTTATATTTAAAAAGTAATTTTAGAACAAATCAATAAAAGTCATTTGGAGGGTTTTTGATATTGTTATTCCTTCACATAGCAAACTACTAATACTCCAGAATCTACGATAAATTCTATCAGATATCTCAGATTCACAGTGTAACATCACCAGCTTTCTGAAACTAAACCTGATAAGATAGTGTTTAAAATAGCATCAGAAAATAATGTTTATCGTTTTAAGTAGTATGAAGTGGTAAATATTTTTTAAAAATAAAAACAAATGTACTTTACCAGTGGCCTAACTTAAAGATAGATGACATTTTAAAACTTTTAGATACATATTTTGCAGTAGACTAACTGTTTGTATGTTGGTTGTAGTTGAATTAATGACTGCTTTAAATTCTAACATTAAATAGTGTATTAAAATCTATCATAGTATTTATTTTGTGAAGTGTGTTTTTTGTTTCTTTGTATAACGATTTGTTTAACGTGCTAAGCGGAAATAATTGGAATTGTCAATTGCTCTAAAGACTCTAAAGAGAAAAAGCGGCCATAAGCGCTTAGAATATGGCAACAAACTCCATTGACAATCCCGTCTGCTGAAAGTCCTTGAGTCAACTCAGCTCTAATATGGTCCAGCAACTAAGAATGAGATGTTATCTTAGTAACCTACTTAAAAATGCACTTTTAGAGGTATTTTTTTTAAAACAAAATTTTCTAAGAAAATTTCGAACTTATCTGAAACCTTAGACGACACAAATAAACAAATCGTTCCAGATAAAAGTAAACAACAACAGCGTGAATCTGAAATCGTTGACTAGTCATTTCAACATTATCACTGTAACGATGGGGTCTGGTTATAGTGTAGATGAACACAACCAAAACCTTCTACAACATTTGATACCTGGGGATGTCGTAGCCTTTACCCGTGGGTCATTTACAGAATACGCATTATTTGTAGGTCAGTGCTTGCATTCTATAATTTAACAACTTTATTATATCTATTATACTTTTTAACGATGAAATTGAAAGCGTGTAAATTTAGAGTCTTATATAGAAATAGGGATATTTGTTAAAAAAACAATAACAATAAATCAAAATTACTTGTTTTGAAATGCTAAAACAGAATTATGAAATATTGAAAATTTTAATTAATAGTTTTATCCTAAGTAAATGAAATTCCCCTTCCCAGTGAAATGGTATAATATTAGTACATTTGTTATATAAAATGTATCGGTCGTACCTGATTGTTTTTTTTACTCCAACAGGCAACTCCAAAGTGATACCTATTTACTGCAGTACTCTACACTATGCAGCTACAGATTTGAAAGCAATGACATTGGACTTCATAACGTTTGCAAACGGTGACAAGGCCGAGAAAGATAAAACAGGGTAACTTTAGTTAATGAACAATTTTGGGTAACACTGAGAGATAAGACAGGGTAACTTTAGTCTATGAACAATTTTGGGTAACTCTGAGAGATAAGACAGGGTAACGTTAATGTATGAACAATTTTGGGTAACACTGAGAGAGTTAGTGTATGGATAACTTTGGGTAACTCTGAGAGAGATAAAATAGGGTAATGTTAGTGTATGAACAACTTTGTGCAACTGAACGGTTCACAATGAATCAGCAACAATCCACAGCAGAGTATCTACCAGGCAGACCCCCCCCCCCCCCCCCCGAAGAAAGTTTACCGCCCACCCGAACGAAATGAAATTTATATAGAAAATATATACTTTTGACAGTGTCCGACCCCCCCCCCCCTCCCGAGGAAAGTTTACCGCCCTCCCCCCCCCCCCCCCCCGAAAGTTTCAAGTGCCCGCCCCCCCCCCCCCCCCCACCGGAGAAAAAAGTCTGGAAGAAACACTGATCCACAGTTGTCAAAGATACACATTTGTTTGTGTCTCTGTGGTTGGTGGGGAGGGGGGGGGGGGAGAATTTTGTTATTTATTAACATGTTTTACATTACCCTTTTTCGACCTAACAACGAAATCATTTTAAAATCGGATACACGCTACGCCATTCAACCAACCCCAAAACCTATAATAAGAGGATCTTTTATAATTTATTATAACTTATCAAAATTACTATTTGTTGAACGCTATTATAAAATGAACATATAGAGCCAAATGACTATGAATTATGCCCCACATTAAATAATTAACCTGCATTTCCTAATATTTTCAACTAGGCGCTATGATCTACTAGTGGAGGACTTCATAGAGTCTTATAACAAGGCTTTTGTTGATCAGCTTCATCAAGGCGATCTGGTCAAGTTCCACAAAAGGTTTTACACCCACTGGGCGGTGTATGTAGGTATGTGGTCTGATTTTTACCTGTGTATGTAGGTATGTGGTCTGGTTTTCACAAGTGTATGTAGGTACGTGGTCTGATTTTCTACAGTGTATGTAGGTACGTGGTCTGATTTTCTACAGTGTATGTAGGTACGTGGTCTGATTTTCTCTAGTGTATGTAGTTACGTGGTCTGATTTTGACCAGTGTATGTAGGTACGTGGTCTGATTTTCACCTGTGTATGTAGGTACGTGGTCTGATTTACACAAGTGTATGTAGGTACATAGTCTGATTTTCACCTGTGTATGTAGGTACGTGTCTGATTTTCACCTGTGTATGTAGGTACGTGGTCTGATTTTCACCTGTGTATGTAGGTACGTCGTCTGATTTTCACAAGTGTATGTAGGTACGTGGTCTGATTTTCACCATGTGTATGTAGGACGTGGTCTGATTTTCTACAGTGTATGTGGGTACGTGGTCTGATTTTCACAAGTGTATGTGGGTACGTGGTCTGAATTTCACCTGTGTATGTAGGTACGTGGTCTGATTTTCACAAGTGTATGTAGGTACGTAGTCTGATTTTCACAAGTGTATGTAGGTACGTAGTCTGATTTTTACCAGTGTATGTAGGTACGTGTCTGATTTTTACCAGTGTATGTAGGTACGTGTCTGATTTTCACAAGTGTATGTAGGCACGTAGTCTGATTTTCACAAGTGTATGTAGGTAATGGTCTGATTTTCACAAGGGTACCTGATTCACGTTATGTCATGTAGCGGTCATCACTGTTAAGATCTCTCCTTGCTGCATCCCCCTGGATGCCGAGGTAATCAAAAAAGGTGTACTCTACTTTATCTGCCCCATATGTCTTGGACACAAATGCGTGAAGATGATGATGAGTATAAGATTGTATCGTGGCCTCACAATGATGAGCAGTCATAGGCAATTATATGTAGGGCTATATAAAATATGACCTATACCGGCTGATGTTCCTTTGCCCCCCTTGTTCAAATTATGATAAACGTTAATTAGAGTCATGATTGACAATCACACAATGTTTTTGTCTATCTGCGGTATTTATAAACTCAGCAAACAGTAGAGCATGAAAACATTTTAATTTGATTTTAGGAAATAGGATGGTGATTCACATGGCAGGCAATGTGAAGAATTTGGCACTTCAAAAAGCCGACGTGGTGGAGCTAAGTCTCAAGAGAGCTGCTGACGGTTCTATGGCTTTTCTGGGAAACGAGATGGATGGCCAGTGGAAGTGAGTTACCTACCCTTGTTAGCACGCTACGTGTGTTGTCAGGTTATGCTAATTTTAAATTATTTGACACTTTAAAAAACAATGGTGAGAGAATGTTAACTGTTGAATTGTTTCTAGGTTAGAGGAGAAATGTGGAATGAAATAGCTTGAAGTGTATTTTAAACCTACAAGATGTTTCACTCACTGATTAAATTACCACCCTGTCTCAGTTTTTTCATCTCCTCCGGACCTCCATGGTTTAAACGCCAACAGTTCCCAGTCAAAATCTGCAATGACTATTAACACATCTAGGGACCACATTCAAGAATTTCGGCGTTTCCTTAATTTCACTCAACACAGCTATTTAATTTAAATTTTTAAAAAGCGGTTCTTCACCTAGTCAGAAAAATATTTACAACTTACACTGATTACAATAGGCCTAATTAAACCTGATTTTGATACTTCGGTGACTGAAGCGATAGAACAAATAATAGCACACCGCAAGATCCCGAGTAGGACTTGTTGAAACACGATCTGATATTAAAGTAGAAACAGCGAGTTCTGAGGCTAGAGAAGCTGATGAACTCTACTTCGCCTGAGCCAAAGGCACTCGTTCTGAAAATGATTTTTGGTCTGAAAACTTGTAAGTGGTGTTGTTATTTCAATGTGGGTAGCTCGGTGATACAGTTGGACCTACTTATAATACTTATCTCACAAGCTGATGGTGCATGTAATCCAACAAAAACTCTTGTTTTTACATATAGTCACTAGTTTTCATTGCACTAGCAAATAAAAATCGTAGCCTTTGTACATTGTAGACAACTTTCAGGTTTTCATGGTACTATCAAAACAATAACCACAACCAATGTATCACTTAGACCACTACCACCCGCCCACATAGTAAAGAGAGCGAGAGCCCAAATTGGAGAAGTCTACTACAATATTCTATGCCACAACTGTGAACATTTCGCCAAATGGTGCAGGTACAACAGGGATCGAAGTGGTCAGGTGAGGAATTGGGGAATGACCTTCAGTGTCATAACCTTAACCCCCCCCCCCCATACAATCAGGTGAGGGATTGACATTGGGGAATGACCTTCAGTGTCATAATCTTCACCCCCCCCCCCATGCAGCAAGGTGAGGAATTGACATTGATTAATGACCCTTAGTGTCATAATCTACACCCCCCCCCCCCACCCATACAACAGGGTGAGGTATTTACGTTTATGAATGAACCCTCACGGTCATAATCTACACCCCACACGCCATGCAGCAATTTGAGGAGTTAACAATGATGAATGACTGCCCACTGTGATAAACTTCACCCACCCTTATACCAATTCGTGATGCCTACCGTAGTCACATATGTAAAATATATTTGCTCTACTGTTTGAAAGGAATTTTTATTTTGTGTGTGGTTACTATTTAGTTGATAATTTAACTCATTTTCATAACATTTAGCGTCTCATTAGTTTGATTGTACTTGATTACAAACACAACAGCAACAAACATAATGTCTGCTAGTACTTTTTGTTCTTCTATTCTCCCAGGCAGAGAAATACTTCCCCAAACGTATGTGCCAGTTACTGGTTCTAACAGGCGACTACAGGGAGCCGGTAACTTACACACAGACAGACGGTGGCGACTACGTGTACAGCAGTTCTGCATGTCCGATTGTTAGTACATATTTTCTTATAAAAGTGTTAAGTACAACAACTATAGGCGGTTCTTGGACGGGAGACGTGGGCTCATTTCTACACTCCTCCGCCCGCTTTTTTCAAATACAATGATTGAAAGTTATTTATTTAGTAGCTGAAAGTTGATTTTAAAAAGTAAAAATAATAACAGTGTTCTTTGTTTACAGTGTTCTTTGAGGATTCTCTCCGGTGGGATAGGGGTGGGGGGTGGAGGGGGGGGGGGGTGGAGTATTTTCATAAATCTTCTCTTTCAGATTTTTATTTATCTCACAATCAGATTCATCTACCACACTGTAGAGTTTCTCAAACACGGCAATATTTCCAAAATTTATTTTTCTTCGCTAATTTTGCACCCTTGATAAAAATGCCCCGAGATTATCATGAAAAGACATAAAATGTGTTGATTTTCCCTGAAGCTTCAGGTCAAGCTTATGTTGATGTTTGAATATATCTGCTAGGTATGACACTCTCTCCAACCGTTTATTTGTCGTTAAAGTATATCAAGTCTTGTTTCCTTTGCACTTCCAAGAACATCTTAATTTCATCTTTCAATTCAAAAACATGATTCACAACAATTCTACACAACTGTAGTGTAGAAAAGCAAAACCTCGTGATCTTTATTCATGTTTTTGCACAGTTCTATAAACAGACGGGTGTTTAGGGCTCCAGATTTAATACAATTTACGACTTTTATTAGCAATAGAATCGGAAGAGGGCATACAGGTAAATCATGCAGTGGATTCCCTTGGTTAGAGAGCTAAATCGTTTCCTTTTTTCCGAAAGCCCGATTCTTACCCAAACATAGATGGCACACTATCATTACAAACCCCACAGCCCTTTTCCCATTTTAATCATCCAGTTTAAAAAAAAAAAACCTATTTATTTTCTCCATGACATCTTCACAAAATATCAACTCTTCTTTGCTATCATCTGAATAAATATATTTCACAAGGACAAGCAACTACTAACATGATTTTAAGTCAGTTCATTTATCAACTTGAAAATAACAATAGTTAAAGTTAGATTTCATTCAAAATCTGTTCTATAACATCTACGGACATGTCTGTTATAAGCTGCTGAATAGTGTTATTACACATAGATATTTGTTGCACCTTTACTACACCGGAATCCACAATAATTAATTTCGCCACCTTCAACATTCAGGGTTGATGAGATTTTCTCCTATTTTGCGACAATTTTTCTTTTTTTTTGCTTGGCCGTTTCTTATCCGAATTCATATGATTTATGCACTAATGCTGCTTTTCCTTCGTTCTTTCAAGTCTCTGACGTTCGCAACTAGCTTCATGCCGACAAAAGAACTCCATATCTTTTTAGGTGTGTTTCGAATGACTCACCTTAAAATGACATTTTAGTTTGGAAGGTTTCATGGACTCATGACTGAGAATAACTTTGTACAGTACGCATTGATTCTTCTCTATTCCATTGCCAGTGATGTCAGTAAAGACGGATTTTAGATATTCTTCTAAATATTTTTTTTTCATTGCTGGGGATTTTATTCTGCCAGTTAGCGACCCCCCAGAAAGCCCTTTGCGATCCCCTGGGGGTCGCGACCAACAGCTTGCTAACCCGTATCTTAAACAGCTGCCCAAATTTCATTTTTTTAATGTGTCCCTTTGTTCGGGATCCAAAATTTTTACAATATACACTAGTGACATAGAAGTTATAAATCCTGTCATCAAAATTGACTAGATTAATGTTACGATAAAGCTACCGTGTTTAGACTTCTAAACCAAACTTACAGTTAAGTAGTCAATTAATAAAATATATTTTATTGCTATGGTTATAAAGATAATATACAAGAGTTTATAAAATTATTACATAATGAAATTTAAATTGTTTTAAAGTGTTTTTCAAGTATGTCTTAGTTACTCTTGGTTAATTCAGCTTTTTAAAAAAGTTATTTCCCTTGAATAAAATTGTAATATTTGGATTTCCAAATGGGAGATAATTCATCTATTTCAAATTCATGCACGTTATGTTGAATAAATACAATTTTAGGTTACTATTTGCTATTGTAACAATTATATAGAGCAGAAGTTCTAAACAAAATAGTTTGTTAGGTTGTTTTTCTCAGCATTATCCAGTTGAAAAACAAATACTTCAATAGCCGTTGTAAATTGCAATACTTAATTTTAGTATGCGATAGTGCAACAAATGCGTCTAAAATCGTCTTAGTCGCAAACTAATCATCTAATTAATTGTCTTTTTCATATTTTTCACCCTCTGCTAAAGAATTTATATATAACATTTGTAGGCTGGAATCTATAAAATTTATAACCTTTTATTTTTCAAAAACAAAAACAAATCGTTCCACAATCACACTATATAGACATTTTTTTCTTGGAGAGAAACATTTGAAATTTTCTAGGGGAGGGGGGGGGGGGGCTATGTCAGTAAGTAAAATGTAGACTCGTGGACTTAACAACAATTCCATCCAATAGAATGTGATTACGCTTGCAAACTGGAATTGAAGGAATTAGTACAAACTTTTGCGACGGCAAGCAAAATTTTGATTTTTATGTCTACTTATAACGTTTATGCAATTGATAATAAATTAATATGTCACTTTTAATGTATGGTTTTCTTATACATATATTTCATTAATTAATTTGTGTGAAAAGGGGGCGTATTTATAAGTTTTGCATAGGGCGCTAAATAACCTGGCGCCGGCACTGCCCCCACTCACATTGCAGTCATGCGTTCCACCTTCCGACCAGTGTTTCTTCCAGACTTTTTTCTCCGGGGGAGGGGGGGGGGTGGGGCTCATGAGGACATCACAATCATAATACGCAATGTTTATTAGAGAAACAAAACTGCATAAACAACGTAGGCCTTAAAGCTTGTAGGAAACAGAGTTTCTTCCAGGCATCTCTTCGGGGGGGGGGGGGGGGGGCTCATGAGGACATCACAATCATAATAGCAATGTTTATTAGAGAAACAAATTATTTTATTCTTTCTCTGCTTTATTGGCAGCAAACATTATCTCTTGATTTTTACAGTTCTAAAAAGTCAAATGAAAAAAAAAAAAAACTGTGTAGTAGCGGAGCTTGACCTTACGACTGTGACTTTTGGTGTGACTTCAAGGGTTTGTATGTTGGTTGACAGTCAACACCCTGCGTGAGATGACTTCAGTCAAGTCAGGAATGTGACATTTATTTGTTTGTTAACTATTTTATATAGTTTAACCATAAAATGTTCATTTAAAAATTATAAACTCGTCGTGTTTTCCACTTAAAATGTCTATACAAAAATAAGTACCACATCTAAATAACTTGAAGTTATCGAAGTGGTCGAGTCGGTAAAGCTCATGGGTGTTGAAAACCGAAAAATCACGAATTTGAACCCTCGGGCAGATGTTACGCGTTAGCTGGGGACAGCCAGTCTTCTAAGAAAGACAACTCCAAAATCAAACAGCTGCTGCCTTGTATTAGTTTGTTCTTAGTTGGACAAAAACTATGGAAGATAATCCAAAAAAAAAAAAAAAAAAAAACCCAGGCTGAATCAAGGGCCTTAATGGCGCATTAAAAGTTGACACATATACTTAATTGTGTTGGAGGGGATCCCTTCCAACACTAATTAAAAACTAAGAAGAAGAAGAACGTTTTTATGCAACTGGACATGATTTTTTTTTGCCTTACATAAAAAGCTGTTATTAGTACGTTTGTAGAGCAGTCATTATAAATACTAATCTATCTTGGCAATCAAAATAGGTTGTAAATGAAATGTATAGCGATTTGAAATTTACATTCTAAAACACATTGCTTATTACATAAAGAATCTAATGACATTAGTGTGTGATGGTTTCTCTAATACTTTTCAACAGGCTCGATTAATGTTGTAGTTTTAAGTTTAAAATAACTCCTAGTGTTGAGCAGTGGCATGATCTATCTAAAAAAAATAAATTAAACTTGACAATTAGAACAGAGGCGTATCCAGGTTTTCGTTGTAGGGGGAGCGAAATGACCTAAAAAAGGCGCCGAATTTTTAACACGTTCTATATACGTGCATTATATATATATATATATATATATATATATATATATATATATATATATATATATATATATATATATATATTGTTTAACAATATTCGTGTTTACAATTTTTTTTGTCTACAATCAGAATTAAATATATCGTCATCATAAATGCTAAAGTATTACAGCATAATGACAGTTTTTTAAATGAGAGTCGGTATAAAAACACGCTTTAGAATACAATAGAAAAACATTCGGAATAATAGCTTACATTTAACTAAAATATCAGTCTTTTAGTTCAGATCATACATCTTTTAATTAGCTACTGCTTTTTGTGTTCTTGAAAGATCATTTTTTAACATAGTGATCAGGTATGGGTTAGATCACTGTATTGATCACACACCTTTTTACTGGTAATTGCAAAAACAATATTCACAGAGTTTTACCTGTTTCAAAAGCTAGGATTCTGGCGGCATGGTAATTTGGTACATCGTTACGCGTTTTCCCAAATGTACTTAAGAGATCAGTTCGGGGTGGGTTGGGGGGGAGGTGGGTTCAACTTCATTCACAACTGTCCGGTCACTTTAGGTGTATTATCCAAACCAGTGTATACCTAGGTGTGACATTAATGGTGAGGTGTGTGTGTGTGTGTGTGTGGGGTGGGGGGTGGTGTGGGTGGGATAACCAACTCAGAGTGAACATAGCGTCAGTTTTTAGATGACTGTTCTAAACATACATATTCAATTACACATATATACTGATTCAGAAATAGATTTCAATAAGTAGCAGTGGTATTATGACAATTTTTTTTACAGAGGGGTCCATGGGGGGGGGAGGGTTTTTTTTTAACTGTTTAATATAATTTGTAATCGTAATCAATATCGCCCAAACTGTCATAATACTACTACTTCATTGTGATGACGTTGTTGTCCTTGTAAAAATTTCCCCACCACTACGCAGTTTGCCCATAAGTAAATTTAAATAGATGTGCCACATTAGTTGTATTTGTGTCTGTATTGTAATTTTTAAAAATTAATTACACGATTAAAACTGTATATATAAAGTAATTATGTGTGAAGATTTATGTATAATATTTTCTAGATCAATTATTCTTAAGCAAATACATTATACAGTTGCCTTAAACTTAGCACCCCTCTTGCCATGTGGTACTACCCGTAGAGGCTTTTTAAAATTGCAATGCATCGTAATGGTTATTTATAGAATGACTAACTTGATACAGCTGTTAATACGCGTTGTAAACGTAGACGCTACTAGACTAGTACAATTTTGCTTAATTGCTGCATGAAAAGAAATCTTGTGATTTACATAGATGTGCCGACCAAAAATAATTGTTTAACAAAAATCATTGTTTAAAACTGAGTAAAAAAGTTTCCAAAAAGGCGCGACTTTGCTGAAAATGGCCAGAGGGGGAGCGGCTGCTCCCCTGCTCCCCCCCCCCTGCGTACGCTACTGATTTAGAATGATCATTTAAAAAATAAGACAAATTTCACTCCAAGAAACTGTTCCAACAACTGTATAACGCGAAATATTTTAACAAGTAACCAAATTACTTTCCTTTGCAGTCGACCCAATGTTTTGAATTCCAAATAATATTTGAAAAGGGTGATAGCCTGCATAGTGTTGGCGTATGTATTTCTCTGGTGCTTCTTACAACTAAAACAGTTTGAGATAAAAACAGAAGACACGTGACAGGAAAACCTCCAGATTGATAAATCTCATTGGTCAATATCTAATGTGTGATGTAGTCCTATTTAAAGACCATAAACACTTAGCGAGGGTAAATCTGTTTATATTCGCGCCCCTATGTGATAACTGTTTAAGTTGTCGAAAGCAAGCGATGGTGATGGAATAAATTGTTTTAGCAAAACATGAAACTTAAGCATCACACAAACAAAATAGTCTACATCTTAATTCAATTATACACATGAGAACTATTTGAATTCATAAAAGCATTTGGACGCGTTGAAAAAAGTTAGGAAGGTAAATGTAAAACATTTTGAAAGATCTTTTTGACAACATCTGTTTAACTTACTTCGTCAAGATAATTGTATTACTTAAGATTGGTTTCAAAATAATTGTTAAAACGTAAGGCAGAATCGGGTTTTCCCTATCAGATTCCACGAATCCTACTCAGCATGTTTGAACAGTCGTGTGGACACATTGAAGACAGAGGCGTGTCTCAGACCATCGTACACATGTGAGATTGTTGAAGGGGTTGAGAGAAAGAATTCCCTTACTTTGCATAATGATAAACCACGAAAAGGCTCACTAAATACTTTATGCAGGAGACAACATACACAGAAAAAAAAAAAACGTTAATTAAACTTCGGTTGACTTGCTAATTTGAGACGCGGGGAGGGGGTGGGGGGGTGGGGGGGGGTCGGTGGGGGGATTGCTTGAAGGAGAGTGGTAGTCGAGTCTTTTATAATTACACTAGGCATGCTGCCCAGCTTCGCTTAGGCTTTCAAAAACATTGAGAATTTGAATGCTTAATTAATTCGCCCGAGGGTCGGTCTACGACCTCAGGAGTTATGAAGAGGTTCCTACGTGGACAAATTTTTTTCGATTTATAGCTCATAAAAGGCGCCGGTCAGTCGAGGTCTGTTTTGACCCCCTCATCGTAGACCTTTAGGCCAACCGGCACCGGCCCCCGTGTTCTGTCGCCCCAAGGCAAAATCCTGCCAAATTTGAAGCGCCTGCGGCGCCGGGAAGTGCCCGATGTCGGGCACCCAACAACTTTGCTTCATGTATTATAGAGATTAGCAAATTGCATAGATAAACAAAGATTTCCAAAGTAGTTCCTTTCTTTATAGTCTAAAATAGGAAGATTCACATATTAAAAAAAAAATAATTAGGTTTGACTTGGTGTGTCTCGATCCAGCACCACTTGTCTGGTATCAAGTACACTACCATCTCAGCTAATTAGGTACCTTTTAAAATATGGAGAATAAAAGAAGTGTTTAAAAAATAACTTACACGAATATGCCTATTTTTTCAAATTATTTTTTTTACCCAAAATTAGCCAGTTTCATTGCTAAACAAACACAGATTTCTATAAAATATTTAAGTTCTGAAAAAGTTTATTATAGAAATTTATTTTTGGAATAGATTCTACAGTAGATAGAGTCTAAATCTAGATCTAGAATAGATCTTAGCGACGTAGCGTCTAAGTGTAGTTTTTTGCGTAGATTTAGATCTAGTCTAGATCTAGAATCTCTAGATCTAGAATCCAAATGGATAAAATATTTTTTTTTAAGTTTAGGCCGAGAATATCGTATTGTGTAGTCTACATTTCATAGCGTACATAGCTCTAAATCATATTTGAATGAAATAGTTCATTTTTTAAAATTCTAAACTCGGAAGATGACGTCATCAGTTTCGTGCTCTTGTTTTAGTGTTTAAGTGTAAAGAATAAGCGACGTCATTGTTAAATGCGTTCTTGTCTCAAGTCTATACACTTTTCCGGTTGCATAAATAATACTGTTTCTCTATATCCGAATACGCCTTTATTTTTTATTTTTCTTCTTTAAATAAAATTGTGGTTATACATTTAAAAGATCTAACATATTATTTTCAACAAAAATCCGTAAAAAGTTCTCGATATATCGCTGTAGATTCTGATGTGATGTCCGGCGAAAATATTTTGCGGACAGACAGAGAGAGAGAGAGAGAGAAGTGCGAACGTGGCCTATTATAGATTTAGATTATAAATGGATGCCTTATTATAAAGAATCTTCCAAAATGTATCTAAACTGCAGTTCATAATATGCAGTTTACACCAAATGTCTTGTTTGTTTTTTTAAATATTGATTGACAGACTGACACGCCTTCGCCAGTGACGTCTAAGAAAGATAAGATTGTTTAATTAAGTGCACTAGATTTAGCTGTAGATATAAAAGCGCAGCAAGTTACAGTAACCACACATTGAGACCAGCGAGGGAACTGTTTCAGTAACAGCGAGTGTAAGTAGTTCAATGGCCACATATTCCAACTCGACCTGGAACGAAATTGTTAAAGAACACAATAAGAAACTTCTGTTTAGTCTAAAGCCAGGAGATATCGTCAAGTTTAACCGGGGAGTGTATTTTCACTTCGCTCTTTACATCGGTATGTTGCATCTTTAGTCTATGGTTGTAAGTTGGATGCTCTATTAGCATTTACTCAGTAAAACATTGTTTGAAACTTGAAGCATTATATGACTAATATCTCTCGATTATGAATACATATGCAAAAAAGGTTTTCGTATATTTTAAAGAAAGTTTAACTTTACTTTCCTCTTTATGCTTTATATCTATATATGCAGCTAAGTCGAATGGCAGGCAGAAAATAATATAAAATAAAATATAAAAATATAAACAATCCACACATTTTTAAATCTAAGAGACATTTTTATTGTTTCTTCTCATTAATCTTTTTGGCTTGTCCTGTGTTCGTCATTTATGGGTCGTTTCCCTTGACTAAACACGAGTTCTATACAGATTGACAGTGGATTGTTAAATTGAAAGGTTATTTCAAACTGTCTCTTCTAATTTTACTTTTACCAATCAGTTTACCTTATATTATCTATGGGAGTCCATATGCCCCACTTTAACTTAATCCTCCTGGAAATCATTACAATAAGGCTTTAATTATTTCTCGGCAACAAGGCTATCGATTATTACATACTCAAGATAAAGAGAGGTGACAAGCTATTCGCAATCTTCTGTCGTCACCCTAACCTGGCGTGTTCCTGATCCCTCAGGTAAAGGTAAGGTGATCCACCTGACGGCTCCAGACAACTGTCCAGGTGTGTCCGGCAGCATCCACCCACGTCACGTGGCATCTCTGGCCAGTGTTCCAGTGGACAAGGCTCTGGTCGCAGAGGAAGATTTTTTTGAAGTGGCAGACGGCAACAAAGCTTGCAAGGCCAACAAAGAGTAAATAAGTATAGTTGATCCTTCTCTCCTATTACGGCAACATAGCTTACAAGGCCAACAAAGAGTAAATAAGTATAGTTGATCCTTCTCTCCTATTACGGCAACATAGCTTACAAGGCCAACAAAGAGTAAATAAGTATAGTTGATCCTTCTCCCCTACTAACACACTTATGGGTTTTATATTTAGAATATTTCATTTATTATATTCAAACACAAAAGTAATTATTTTAAAATAAGATCCAATATTTGCTAATTAAATACTACACTTTTTTTTGGCATCTGTAAAGCAAATTAAATAATATAATAATTCTTTCGTCAACAAAGTAACGAATTAGGTTTCGGAAAAATAAAACATCTATAAATAAAACTCCAGATTTTTTTTTAATTTACAAAATATTTGATAAAATTTAATTTAACAAATATAACTCTAATGGTATTTCATCATACCAAATTTTGAAAATATGAAAAAAAATATTACTATTACAAAACCTAGCCAACTGACTCTATTATAGTTAGTAAGTTAGAAGGGTCAATGATTGTATGATTTTTTTCTTCATTGTTAATTTTAGTGTTAGAAATTGGTTATACATCATATTAGGCCGTCGACTCCGATTTCAGCCACAAACTAAGAGGCAGTAGATTTTTTATTCTGTCTCTCTTTAGAAGAGCCTCATCTGTCCGGGGGTTCAAACTCGAGACGTTTTGGATTAGCAACCTTGACAACCGACCTGACCACGCCGTCCCCACTGTATGAACAATATATATATATATATATATATATATATATATATATATATATATATATATATATATATATATATATTACTTTAGAGCCTTAAGACCTCTAGGAAGGGTGTTTTTTTTTCAAGAAGCCGCCGTTGCCATGGCAACCATATTTTTGTTACACTTTCTGATGCATGCAAATATCTTGTCTTAAGTACCCTAACATAGATACACACGAATAAATTAAAACGCCTTTTTAATAAAAACCATATATTTTTCCCTGGAGCCTAACTGTTTGTAAGACCAATCAGTATGATAATCAACAGAAAATGCAACCATATGTGCATTTGGAATCACTGAATCTACATTGGTTACGTACCACCGCCGTCAAGCAGCTAGACACACAGTAATCAGAATGTATCTTTAATTTAGCCAGCATTAACATCTCATTTTCGAGCCTTAATACTTCCACTTTGATAAGGAATTTTAAAAATCGACTACGAAACGTGTAACGTCCCAAGTCCTACATACCTCTACACCAGGGGTCGGCAACCTTTTGAGACAATTTACAAAATTTTCCAGTTTTTAAAAGCCACTAACTTTTTTTTTTAATATTTTGATATTTGATAAGGATTAGGTAAATAAATTTGATTTGAAATAAGCGTTAAATATGAACTAATATTGATTCATATAAAAACATCCAAATGTTTCACACAAAAACTGCTTTAGCTAGCTCTGCTGTGATAAAATTAGTAATCAAATAATATAACTATAATATAACTATACGACTATCCCAATCCACTTTAAGAGACAATAACTTTTTTTTTCTTTCTTTACCGACACCACTGGCCCAGGAGATGTCTCTCATAACCAGGCAGCGCTAAACACGACAAACTCCAACTAACTGGTTTGGGTATCGGTGTAATTACTGTATCGGTCGCTTCTGTCCTTCGGTTCTCATTGGGCTTATCTTCCACCCTACTCGTACCCCACAGTCCAGTACCTGGCTCAACTTAATAACTAAAATACTTCGTCACTCAGTTCAATTTAATGCATACTGACAGGTAGAGGAATGCATTCTGAGTCGGCAATTGGGCAGTGGCAAGCAAGGAATTGTATGCAACGGGGCTGGCTAAAGCACGATTTTGGGGCTGGGGCTGGTGCCGAAGCGACTGTCAGCTGTCGGTATGCTCTCTACCCCACCTATTCGCATTGTTCTCCGAAGAGTGTTTTTATCCTGTTTAAAGGTGTTTTTCTTTACAGTATAATATTTTTATGAGTTTTGAAAACGAAATAATATTATTATTAATATCTGTGCATGGAGCTGAAGAGCTGCATCTTGACATCAAAAGAGCCGCATGCGACTCGCGAGCCGCAGGTTGCCGACCCCTGCTCTACGCTAAACAGTGGCGTAGTGAGGTCGGGGACAAACTTTCAATTTTCGATTTGCACCCCTACCCCTCAGACTTTCGATTTGCACCACTTAAAAGACTATTTAACACTACAATTAATCACTAAAGTAAGTGGAATTATCATTTTTCTCTATAAATTTACTACCTTTTGCCTTAGTGTCACCCCCCCCCTAAATAGTGTCACCTGGTGCGTTCGCACACACGCCCCTCCCCCCCCCTCCCGCATCGCTACGCCTCTGACCCTAAAGATACGATTAGGATAAAGCAAGTTGTACATAGATAAATAAAGGACAAGCCCTGTACTGCTAATCCGAAAGTTTTGAGTTTGGATTAATGGCATGTGCAAAACACGACCGAAATTACTGTAATAGTTGAATTCTACTTCATCTGCATCACATTGTTCGAAACTGTACTTTACAGTTGATAGAGAAAAATTGAATATACGTAAATTTAGCGCATATAGTTATTATTTTTTAGCGCAATTTCCATTCTGGAGAATTGCGTTTATTAACTCGTCATTTCTGGGAATGGATGGATGTATGGATGTGTGTCCGCAGCATTAAGTCGTCTTTAAGTCGTATCTCCTCCTCAACGAAGCAATATCGAGGACTAGTTCCAAAAGCAAATATGTTAAGCAAGTTCCGAGGATGAACATAGGCCAAAAAAATTCCCGGGTTTCCTTCCTGGATTTCCCGGAAAAGCCAATAAAACTCGAAAAAATGCAGTTTTTGTTTTATATCTCGGCAACCAGACCACTTAGCGACTTGAAACATTTACCAATCAATTCCTGCCATAATTTAGAACAATATTGCCGAAGAAAGTTTTCAAAAATATCCTTTCGTTCGGTCACATTTTTTTTTTAAAAGCGCGACAACTAAACACCCCCTACACGTCAGCATTATTTAAAATTACATTATACATAATACATTACAGTACTATATAACAAAGAAGGCAGTGGAAGGCGAAAGAAAGGATGGTAAATCATGTGACCTGGCTGGCTTAGCAGCGAACTGCGCGAGACGCAGGCGAAGGAGGAGGAGCTATGATTTATTTCGATTTAAAATTGTTATGGATAACATAAGGAAATTGTCACTAGACTTTTTAAATAACTTGTTTTTTTGGTTCCACAGTGAGTGGCCCAGTTTTGATCTGAAGACAGTTCTGAGAAAAGCTAAGCAGAGTCTGGGAGAAACAGAATATAATATACTCACATATAACTGTGAACATTTTGTTAATGAGCTGAAGTATGGAAAAAAACAAAGTGATCAGGTAGGTTAATACAGTAGTTTACATACATACAATTTCATGTGATTTTTGTGCCCAATTACAATACTTCTTCTATACTCTGTATACGAGAAATCAATAACTACGCCGATTTTTATCCTTTGTTAAGATAAGCTTAACGATCTATAACAAAACACCTGTGATCAAAGCCCCGTCCAACCACCCAGAGGCGTAGCGACCTCTCCCGGTGCCCGGTGACAAACTATCAATTTGGCGCCCCCACCCCCATATATTTTAAAATGTTTTTAATTCAAAACTGCAGATAAAATGAGCGTTTAATTTTTTTCCAAACCATTTTGGCACCTCTAGAGTCGGCGCCCGGGGACATATCTACCCCCCCCCCCCCCAATTCGCTACGCCTCTGCAACCAGCTATTTTCAAAAGTCCGTGTACCGTTAAAACAATGTGTAGTGTGTAGTTTCAACGTATAGAACGTGCAGTGACAATTAATTATAAGTTTGTTAATATTTTGTTGAGGGCCCGCGATATGCTATCGTTGAACAAATCGGCACTAACTAAAATAACACGGTAATGACTTTCTGTTCCTCAGGTAAACGCAGGTCTAGGTTTGACGGGCGGGCTACTGGCAACATTGGCTGCTGTTGGTGCTGCTGTTGTCGCTGGTGTGATGGTGTATAACAGGCAATCAAGAAACAGTGACTAAAATAACAGGCAATATAATAACAAACAATCAGCAAAAACTAAACAACATATATAAATTCTCTACTTACGGTGTAATTGTTCTGACTCGATTCTGTTTAGAAAAGAATAGAGTCTCGTAGAAAAAAGAATTCCGCACCAAGTGAACGCCAAACTAAATGTGTATAATGGTGCGGAATATTATTAGTACTTTTAAATTCACATGCGTTTTTTGTGAATATGGAAATAGCGTAAATTACTACTTCTGTTCAACGGAAATTACTCAAAATTTGATAGAAGGCAGAAAATTAGATGTTTTACTTACATGTGAAAGTTCATTATCTATCTGAAATAGTATTCAAGTTATAGGCTTTTGAAAAATTAAAAGTAGAAAAAGTACCACTTCCCGTTATCGGAAATCGCTCAAAAGTTGAAACGGATCTACGACTTTTTGATATAATACTTATGTATGAAATTTCATCAGCCTAGCTGTAGCGGTACTCAAGTTATCGTGTTTACAGACACACACAAACTCACACACATATATACACACACACGGACATACGGACAAGAATGCAAAACTATGTATTTCCAACTATGGGAGGTGTAAAATGTCGAGATTACAAAAATCTCGATTATTTTTTAACACGATTACAAGACTTCGTATATACGAGAAAGTAAAAATTGAAGTGTTTTATTTTAAACGTAAAATAAGATAATCGACATTTTTCCCATCCATTTTTTTTTCAAACAAGGTGTTTTAAATTGCTAATTGACGATGTTGATGTACTTGTTTATATTTAAAAAAAAAAAAAAAAATAAGAGTCAAGTTTCGTTCTTCTCTTATGTTTAGTTCATTTAACAGCTAGTATTATATTTATATACTATTATACAGTTATTTTGTAGTTGCTGTATTTTGCTTTAAAATATATAAAAAGAAGACATGAATGTAGATCAAGGTAGACGTGGTTATTTTTTTTTCTCGCTGTTTTTTGTTTTTGTTTCGCTGAAACATGTTTGTTTGCTTACTGTCTGGGAATTTCCTCACTACCCTGCCACCTAATTTTCATGTGCTTTCCACTTTTTTTGACTAAATATGATAACGAGATTAGAGTCTTGAATTTGTGACACAATGAAGTGTCACGTGCAGTAGGATAGTCGTAAACACGTCACAACATGTAACAAAATCTACGTTTGTGTGATTAAACCAGACGCTACTCGTGTATTCTAGAGCATTCATGTTATATGGCATACGTATTCGCGTACACATACAACTACGTAAAAACTATTCATGTATACACAATCTACATACACACATTTATAAGTACAAGCACATTCACATACAAACATATTCACTCATACTTTATTTACGTACACAAATTTTTATATATAATCACTTAAACATATTAAATGACAACTATATTCTTCTTTTTATTATTATTATTACGTGTAAAGTCGAAAGGGATTCCCTCTAACACAATTAAGTATTACGTGTCAACATTTTATGCACCCAATGGCGCCGATTTCAGCCTGCTTTTCTTTCCTTTAATACGCAAAATTCTAGATACCCCCCCCCCTAAAATGACGTCAAACCTCAGCCTACAACCCCCTCAAAATTGCAGTTGAATTTTTTTTTTAAACATCGATATTTTTAAAAAAAATCTTGTCCGAACTTTGTCAAAATAGAGTATTTTGATCAATTCATGTTATAATTTATTAAAACAGTTTTCAAAACCGCGAAATAACGTCAACAATTTGTTTTCCAACATTGCATTTTTATAATGCAAAAGTGTGACGTCGCACCATCTGAAACTCCCTTCCCCCTCCCCCTCATCACACTATTACGATCGCTTTTCTGTCAGTCGCAGAGCTAGCGAACGCCCCGAGTTCGTTTTGGAATGGCTAATGACAGATGTCTACTAAAGAGGGTCAGAAAAAAACAAATTTCAACGTGGGCTCGAGAATAAGATCTAGTGGTATAAACACGCTGAACTGATGTGACTCACAACACCTTTAATCCGTCAACAACCGTTTAATATGAGTACAGGAATAAAAGTGACACTAGGACTGTACAAAATAATGTATAATCTAAGGGTAAATAATAAACCAAAACACAACTTACTGTTGCTAAAAAATCACTAGTCTAGATTACAAATATCACAGATATGGTATTGGATAATGAACACAGCTTAAGGAAAAATACCGAAAACACTGAATGGCACTAGAAACACCAATAATAGGGGAATAATTGCCGCTACAAACTATGTAACAGAAAATGGCGTCACACACATGGCACTCTCTCGCAAGATGTCTCATAAAAGGCTGCCTCGAGCCTTTGCCTTCAGGGTTTTTAAATCAGAGAGGAACAAGGGGAGCTCACTCAAAAGTCATAAGACTATTGGTTGGGATTTTACTAAAGTTCGAAATAACCAATTAAAATCTCATCACATGACGTGACGGAAAAGTACTAGTGATTGTACAACTCTCCCAAGGTCGATTACATAAACAAAAAACTAAATTATAAAAAAAAATAAGACCTAAGTAGGTCACAACACACCGTCACAAAATTACGTGTGACATCATTTATGGACGGCCCCATAGCAGCAAATCCAAAAAGAAAAGCAGGCTGAAATCTGAGTGAATGGCCCATATGGCGCATAACAAGTTAACACGTATACTTAATTGTGTTGGAGGCAGTGTTGTAGCGAGGTCGGGTGTCACCCGGTGCGGCACTTAATGGAGTCACCCTCAGAGGCGTAGCGACCCTTCCCGGGGACAAACTTTCAATTTGCCCGACCCCCCCCCCCCCCCCTCAAGGCTTTCTCTATCAGATTCCACGAATCCCAATCAGCAGATTGCAATAGATGCGGCAGTCGTATGGACTATTGGAAGACAGGGGCGTGTTTAAGTACATCTTACACATGTGAGATTAGTGAAGGAGTTGACAGAAAGTATTCCCTTATTTTGCAATACAACGAAAAGGCATTCTTTATGCGGGAGGCAACATACACATAAAAGAAATTTTAATTAGACTTCTTTTGACTTGCTAAATTTAGGAGAACTTGAGGTAGAGTAGGTAGTCAAGTCTTTAACATCATAACATTTAAAAAGGACGCCTTATTATAAAGGATCTTCCAAAATGTTTCTAAACTGCTGTTCATTATATAAAGTTTACACCAAACAGTCTAGTTTTTTTTTTTTTAAATATTGATTGACAGACTGACACGCCTTCGCCAGTGACGTCAGAGAAAGATAACATTGTTTGAGTGCACCAAATTTAGTTATAGATATATCAGTGCAGCAAGATATGGTATTCACATGTAGAGACCAGCGAGGGAACTGCTGCAGTAACAGCGAGAGTTTAAGTGTAAGTAGTTCAATGGCCACATATTACAACTCAACCTCGGACGAATCATTTGTTAAGCAACACAATGAGAGACTTCTGGCAAGTCTTAAGCCAGGCGATATCGTCAAGTTTCACCGGGGAGTGTATTTTCACTTCGCTCTTTACATCGGTATGTTGCATCTTTAGTCTATGGTTGTAAGTTGGATGCTCTGTTAGTATTTACTCAGTAAAACATTGTTTGAATCCCGGTATTTGCATCTTGAAGCGTGTATAGGTCTACTATTTCTCGATTATGAATAAATATGCAAGAAAAGGTTTACGTATATTTTAAAGAAAGTTATACTTTACTTTTCACTTTAAGCTTTATATTAATATCAATAAAAAGAATAAACCGGGAGTGCTCTCCCCTAAATATTCTTATATGAAACAATAGGGGATGGCTATTCGGGATATAGATATAGACATGATTATTAATCCATTTTAAATACTTAACTTTTTAAAATAGAATAAAATCTCGTAGAAACAAGAATTGCACACCAATTGAACGCCAAATAAAATGTGCATAATAGTGCAGAATATTATTAGTACTTTATAAATTCAAATGCATTTTTTTTGAGAAATCGGAAATAGCAAAAACTACTAGATCCGTTCAACAGAAATAACTCAAAATTTGACAGAAGGCAGAAAATTAGATCTTTTACTTACATGTGAAATTTAATTTATCTATCTGATAGTGTACTAAAGTTATAGGTTTTTAAAAATTTCAAGGTAGAAAAAGTTCCACATCCGGTTACCGGAAATTGCTCAAAAGTTGACACAAATTTATGATTTTGATATAACACTTATATATGAAATTTCAATAACCTAGCTGTAACGATACTCAAGTTATCGTGTTTACACACACTCACACACACAGAGACACACACACACAGACATACGGACAAAATTGCAAAACTATGTTTTTCCGACTCAGGGAGGTGTAAAACGTCGAGATTTCTAAAAAAAAATCGATTTTTTTGGACGATTACAAGACTTTCTCTATACTTCGTATATACGAGAAAGTGAAAATTGTTTATTTTCCTAAATCATTTTGGCTTGTCCTGTGTTCGTCATTTCTCGGGTTGTCCCCCTTTACTAAACACGAGTTCTATTCCGTTATTTTAAACTGTTCTAATTTTACTTTCATCAATCAGTTTACTTTATATTATCTATGAAAATCATGAGACTTTGAATTATATCTCCGCGACAAGGCTATCAATTATTACATACTCAAGATAAAGATAAAGAGAGGTGAAAAGCTATTCGATACTTGCTCATGTCAATCTTCTGTCGTCACCCTAACCTGGCGTGTTCCTGATCACTCAGGTAACGGTAAGGTGATCCACCTGACGGCTCCAGACAACTGTCCAGGTGTGTCCGGCAGCATCCACTCACGGAATGTGGCATCTATGGCCAGTGTTCCAGTGGACAAGGCTCTGGTCGCAGAGGAAGATTTTTTTGAGGTGGCTAATGGCAACAAAGCTTACAAGGCCAACAAAGAGTAAATTTTTCTTTACATGGCATTCACATTATGGGTTTCATACTTAGAATATTACATTTAATATACTCAAACGCAAAGTAAAACATAGAAAGCTAATTATTTTAAAACGGGATCAATTAAAAAAAAATTAATATAATTAAAATTATAATAAAATATTTTGCGTATTTTAGATTTCAGTTAATAAAAGCAGTGTAAAAGCACCGTAACGAATTGACAATTAAGACGAATTAGTATGTTGAGCAATAAAAGACAATAACAAATGCATACGAAATCACTGTACATGCATGGTATAACTATCAACTAGATACACTCGTACAAAATACAAAATTCAAATAGATCGTTTTTTTCTTTTGCTACTTCCATTTTGATAGTACATGTTTTAAAAATCTACTACAATTCATTTCCTACATATCTATAACAGACTCGATAACGATATTATATGTTTTATCTAGATACATTATTAAATATACCTATATTTACCGTATATATTTATTTACTTGGTACCACAGGGAATGGAACAGCTTTGATCTTGAGACAGTTCTGAAAAAAGCTAAGCAGAGTCTAGGAGAAACAAAATATAATCTACTCACACGTAATTGTGAACATTTTGTTAATGAGGTGAAGTATGGAAGAAAACAGAGTGATCAGGTAGGTTGATGAATATGCCCTATTTAGTAACTACACCTATATATATATATATATATATATATATATATATATATATATATATATATATATATATATATATATATATATATATATGTATATATATATATATATTTTAACTATAAATATATTTTAATGAATTAGCTAGAACCCTATATCAAACTTTATTAACTTTCATCACTTTTCTTTAGATTGTCTAAAAATGAGGTTGAAATATATACATTTTAAATTTTAACTCTTAAATTCGATTAATGAAGCGATACATAAACCTAAAGAAGTATTTGAATTATACCTTATACACAAGAAATACGATGTCTAAACAAATTTGTCCTAACATAAATATACTAACTCGTCCCTATCACACAGGTGAACGAAGGTATAAGTGTGACGACTGGGTTACTGGGGGCATTGGCTGCTGTTGGTGCTGCTGTTGTCACAGGTGTGATGCAAGCAATCAAGAAACAGTAGTTAAATGACTAGTTCCCTAGCCGAGTTGTAATTATTCTCACTATACTAATTGTCACGCTCCATTTGCCTACCCGGCAATAAATCTGAAACTAATGTTTTTGCACGTCATGTCTTGAGTTTGTTACTTATAACAGAAAAAAATTACGTCCATGTTTCAGATGTTTTGTTTGGATTGAAGATGATTAAAACATATCACAGAATGAATCCAATATCTAAAAATCTTACACGGAACCTGTGTATTTTACTCCTTTAAGGTTCGATAACTTTACATCCGCTTCTTTCAAAGAACCCCCCTCCCCCAATCTCATAAGACAGTATTTTCACACCACCACACTAAAGCTCCTTTACCCATCTTCATATACAGACACACAATCAAACCTACAGACAAAAACATTGTTTTGCTCAATGGATTCCTCATAAAGTGTAAACCGTCCGCCTACGATAATGAGTGAAAAATAAATTGTAAAATGTTTGTTATAGCATTCAGCAAGCAGGATAAGTTTTCTTCGGTCATGTTTTTTTTTTTAAAGAGAAAAAATATGAAATCTAATTTTGACATTGTATTCATTTTAAAATAGGTACTTAATGAATTTTAACGATAAAGGTGTTGACATTTTAATTAATTAGATAATTGGGTGAAGAATAAGAAGCAGATAGGGGTCATCCATAAATGACTTCACGCTTTATATGACGATTTTTACCTCCCCCCCCCCCCCATCCCCTCTGTCACACGTCGTCACAAAAAGCCAGACCCCCCCCCCCTCGTTTTCTAACATTGCTTTCTTATAATGTAAAAAAGTGACGTCACACCATCTGAACCCACCCCTCCCCCTCATCACACACCGTCACAAGATTACTGACCCCCACCCTACGAGTGTGACGTCATTGAGGGACGACCCCTAGGGTGTTGGTGTTGTAAGATAAAAACTTCTTTTCAGGGCTGTTGTTTTTTTTTAACGTCGATTGATTTCAATTTAACACTGCAATAATTGAGTAAATTAGGTAAATATTAATTATAAATTAATTATTTAATTAATTATTTGACATAACAGGTAATTAGTAAGTTGAGGAAGGTCGGATTAAGGGATTGGGTGATACGGTGGGGAGGGGATTATATGGGATAGTCCAACAGACAGTCAGATGTCCAGCGAAAGAATTGTTTATTCACTTAGTTTTAGTTACCCTAACCAAATAATAATAATAATAATAAAGACTGAGATGTGGGTGAAGGCAACCTTGATTGTTACAATTTACAAATACTGATGTAGACCCACTGATTACATGTCGCTGCTGACGGGGAAGTCCCGCTTTAACCTGCCACCTTCATTTCCGGGATTTTCCGATAATTTCAAAATGTCCAACGTTTTAGTCAAGCTGATGTTCAGGTAAAACTGTTAACTGTTGAGACGGTAACACGTGACGCTTGCAGTAAAATAGTCGTTAACACGTCACAAGGTCACATTCTGGTGTAAACACGTAAGAAAACCCAATCCTGTTCATATGAACATACAAGGTTGTAGGCCTACATGTCAGCGATTGTCTGAACAACAACATTTGTTTATCTCTTGTATTTGATTATAAACCTTAACCTACCTTATTACATGCAATCAAGCAAAATTATATGCGTGCAATCTCTTAACTCATACAAGAACACAACCATTACTATTTTTCATTTTAAAAAAAGTAAAAATCTTTAAAGTTTAAGTCTCGATTGTTTGATTAAAGGTTTAGATTTTTTTTTCATAATAAGATCACAACTCAAGAAATGAAAGTAAAAGTCGAACTGGTTTACAACTTGAGAACATTTTGAAATGTACATTTGTTGACTTTATATTTTATTTATAAGAATTATATAAATTATGTACAACGACCTTTTTTCATTGTTTATTTCAATTTTTAATTGTAGTTTTGTCCATAATATTATATTGTGTAATTGTAGGTTAGATAAGTCTTAATAGCTGTAATTAGGAATAGTACTTAGTGTGTTTGATGGTACGTTCCCTTACTAAAAACAAGTCTGAATAGCCAAAAATTAGTTCCCCAGTTTATTGTACTTGCCCCAGTCGTTAGAGTGAATGCATGCACAGGTAAGGCGCCCCACCCCTCATGGGACGGCTGGGGTCAGGGAGGGGTTGGGTTACCTTAGGGTGGGTCATGGCAGGGGTTGGGTTACCTACGGGAGGGTCAGGCAGGGGTTGGGTTACCTTAGGGTGAAGCTGAGGCCTAGAGAATGAATTAAGTTAGTTGAATACACACAAATCGACGTAAACACAAACTATCATATTCTTACACACATGCAACGTATTCACATATACACAGAGATTCACGTATACAAACTTTCAAATTCTCATATTATTTTTACACACATACACATACATTAAGGTAAACACAAATTCACGTTAAAACAAATTATCATACACTCACATGCACACATATTCACGCCACATAATGTACACACGTATTCACATACACAATTTCAGATACTTACACAGTCACATACAAACATATTCACGTACACACATATACTAAAGTATACACATATTCGCATACACAAACTCACTAACACATACTCAAGTTCGCACATATTTACACACACACACACACACAGAGACAAAGAGATAGAGAAAGAGAGAGACCATCACAAACGACCACGTTCCACGTAATACCAGTTCATGCTTAAACTTTAAATTTCCTGAGTACTACAACACAAAAGAAATGAATAAACCGCCCTAACCTAGTTTAAAAGCAAAACCCGCATACATACAAAAAAATTGTTAACGTGTGTATGTTGCCCGGGAAATCCCGATAACGTGTTTGCCTATAATTTCCACGTAAAGCATGTCGCTGCATGCATCAAGTTTCGTTTGGTTTAAAAATAACCTGAGTTTTTCCAACTATTAACTACACCTCGGAAACTATAATAGGCTACTGCACTTCATTCTCACGTCGCTACTATACTATTGTGCATCGCAGGATAATTGAAAAGAGGTAAAAAAAAAATTCGACAAAGAAGAGATATCACACACTAGCCTGCTGTTGTGATCTATTAAATTTTTTCAAGAGGAATTGAATCTAAATCTTAACCATGGGATCTAATGTCAGCGTAGAGGATCACAACGAGGCAGTCTTTAGAAGTTTAAAACCTGGGGACATCGTCAAGTTTGACCGTGGATGGTACAGCCACTACGCTCTCTATATAGGTGAGTTAAGGGGGAAAGGTCATAAAGGGAGAGAAACAAAATAATTCACACCGAAAAACAAAAACCACAAAAAAAAACCTAACTATTAGACGTACATATGTCAAATTTTTACTGCGGTAATTATGATTCTACAGCTATAATACAGCATATAATTTGTTGTGTATATATAAAGCAAATGAAATGTAAAAAAAATATTTTAGTAATATTGTTATTAATGTCTTAATCTGTTTTAAAAGATTGTTTTGTGATTATATATTTTAGTTGAGCTTAATCGCGGTGAGTGTATATCGTTATGGCACACAATTGTTTAATAGAAATTTCTATTGGTAATGGTTAGTAAAAAAAAAAAAAGAAAAAAAAAAGAAAAAAATAAAAAATAAAAAATAAATAAAAATAAAAATGGTTAGTTAAAATGTTATGTGTGGGTGTGCTTCTGTGTGTCTGTGTTTATATGTGTGTGAAAGAGAGAATCAGATTAAAAGTACTCTTCAAGAGGTAATCTGCAAAGTTACATGATCAGTCTTAACGCGTTACTCTTCAATTTTAGACAGAACATACTGTTAATCAACAATAATTAGATACATTTTTATTGTGTTTTTTATTTCTTTATCAATATTTTTTTTAAAAAGCAACAACTAAGCAGCGAAAAAAAAAATCACTAAAAAATCAATAGAACAGTACAACTATGTCATGAACAATCTGATGGTCGGTTTGAAGGCCGAATATCTCAAATGTCACTCAAACTATCATCATGTAAATGACACAATCATTATGCTAAAGACACTATTATCATGTTAAGCATACTATGCCCTGCATTGGCCGCTGAGAAAAATCTATTTGTAAAGGGCCGTGACTTGTGATTTATCAAGCAGCATATACCCGGCATTGCCCGGCATTAGAAAATGTATTACCTTTCGAATTAATTCAAACCACAACCAACCACAACCAAAACATAAACGCAAACGCAAACACAAAACCAAACCTAAACCCAACCTAAAAACAAGCGCAAACGCAAACAAAAACGCAAACACAAAAAAAAAATACAAACAGAACCGCTTACATAAAAGCAAACACAAATGTAAACACAAACGCAAACATAAACACAAATACAAACGCAAACCTAAACGCAAACAATAACGTAGAACATAATTACAAACTTAAATGCAAACATAAAAGCATAGTGCTCGCAATATATACCGCGGCGCCAAATCACACTCTGTTAATATTACGCTACGACGATCAATTGCATTTTTTTAGTCTCTGCATGTTTATCACTGGTCCACCTCACAGATACAGAACTTTATAGATAAACACATTCTGGTAGAACAAGCAAGACATGGGATATGTATACTTTCCAATGTTTTGAAAACTTAATCAACATTTCAAAGCGAACTGTATCGTGACTTACCACTATTTAATTAAAAAAATGTACATTGAATGTACAATGTAATTGTTGCAGGTAAAGGTAAAGTGATCCACCTGACGGCCCCAGACAACGGTCACGGCATTTCCAGCAACATCCGGTCACGTCACGTGGCATCAGTGGCCAGTGTTCCAGTGGACAAGGCTGTTGTAGCAGAAGGTGATTTTTTCTTTGTGGCAGGCCACGACAGGGCTTACAAGGCCAACAAAGAGTAAATATGACTATTCGTTGTTATGGGTGTTTATTCATTACCAGAAGAGGAATTTAGTGTTCTATTTAATGGACTAAAATGGATTGCATCTACCTTTACTAGAGCAAGGTTTTAATGTTTGTGCAATGATGTTTATATATATATATATATATATATATATATATATATATATATATATATATATATATATATATATATATATATATATATATATATATATATATATATATATATATATATATATATATATATATATATATATATATATATATATATATATATATATATTCCTCTCTATAGATTTGTTACTTGAAGTACAACTGATAGATAATTTTAATTAATGCAAACAATAAACTCAGCTGTAGAAACATTATTGGATGAATTAAACTTACACTATGTAACTCTATCTGTGTGTACAGTGAGTGGCCGAGTTTTGATGAGAAAGAGGTGTTGAGGAAAGCCAAATCGATGCTTGGTGAGACTGATTATCATCTGCTGACCAACAACTGTGAGCATTTTGTCAAAAATCTCAAGTACGACAGGAAGGAAAGCGATCAGGTTTGTACAGCACATACATACACACACACGAACGCACACACAGACATACACACACATACACATATACAGACACACACACAGACACACGCACACACACACAGACACACATACATACATAAACACATACACACATACACACACACGCACACAAACACACACACACACACACACACACACACACACACACACACACACACACACACACACACACACACACACATATATATATATATATATATATATATATATATATATATATATATATATATATATATATATGTATAATTCAACTAACTTCTTACTTAACAAATGGTATCATCAATATCATAAAAAAAAGGTTTATGTTCTTTTGAAATCAAACAAAAGCAGTTGCTATAATCAGAAAATGGTTAAAGACTTGTTTTAATCAATCTTTCTATGTTTTGTTCCCTTCAACCACAGGTTCAGACAGCTGCAGGTGCGACAGGTGTGGGGACGTTTCTTTTTATCGCTGGAGCCGCGACTGCCATCATAGCATTGACGGTACAGAGTTCAAAGAACAAGGCCCAGCGATCATAATTCATTGCCCGATCACACTGAAAGTCTAACAATTAAGGCTGAGTTCTGATTTGAGCTCACTGAAAGGCGACAATTAATGCTTGATGATTCTAGTCTGATCGCAATAAGCTTATATAAAGTAATGATAAACTACTGATTTGATCGCACTGAAAATCTGATAATTAAATGTGAATACTGATTTGATGACAACAAAATGCTGAAAATTGAATCTGAAAATTGATTTGATGACCATAAAAGGCTGACAATTAATGCTGAATACTGACTTGATCTAATTAAAATGATTTTAAGACTGATTCCATCACACTTGATGCCGAGGTTCAGAGCACAAGACCAATAGGTGACCTCTGACTTGTCAATTTGTCACCTAACCGTGCTATATGACACCTCAAGAAATAGTAGAGCAGTGTCGCCACTTTTAACGCGCCGCAGAGGCGAATGGAAATATGTAATTTCAAATTTTATAATACTAATTGTTTCCAATAAGTTTCTTAATTTTTTTTTGGTGTATAATGCAATTTCAAATTATGTAATCCTTTTATGGTTATATAGCTACAAGCTTTAGTTCGAAAATCACACACACACAGTGGCGTAGCCAGGATCGTCTCAAGGGGGGAGTCCAATTTTTACCCGGGGACAAACTTTCGATTTGCACCCCCCCCCCCTCAAACTTTCAATTTGCACCCCCCCCCCCCTCAAACTTTCGATTTGCACCCCACCCCTCATACTTTTTCTACACACACACACACACACATATATATATATATATATATATATATATATATATATATATATATATATATATATATATATATATATATATATATCGCCACTGCCATTTTATGTCTTTTAAAAACTTCTCTACATCTTTTTCCTGATTTATTAAATTATTCAATTTACCAATTCAAAGACTCCTACTATGAAATTAAATATTCTTTTTTACATTCGTTTTGTCTTTGTGTTAATCTCATTGTTTCTGTTTGTGAGTAATAATCCAAGATGGAATGATCTGATAAGTTGTGAAAATATATGTGTAATAATGAAATTACTAAGTGATTTTAAAATGCAGTGTGATTGCTTAGATTCTAAGCCTTAGAACAAATTGTGCATGCATACTTGAAGAAAAACCAAATATTTAATGCCGTGAGGCTTTATTTGTGACATGCATATAAATCAATACAAATTTATCTTTCAATCCGAGACTTACAAATCAATCAATACAGTGTTGTCGTGGTCGGGACGGTTAAATGCATGTTTGCTGAACCGAATAGTCCCGAGTTCGATGGCGGGAGATGGCTATTCATCTAGGAGGGACAACCTCAAAATCAAGCAACTGCTGCCTTGTAGTTTGGTTGGACAAAGGCTATGGAAGCATTCCAAAAAGTAAAGCAGGCTGAAATCGGAGTCAATAGTCTATATGGTGCATAACAAGTTGACACTTAATACTTAATTGTATTGTTCTGACACTATAATTAAGGAGAAAGAAGAATGTATGGCAAATTAATGAAGACTAGGTTATCTTTCTAACAATGAATGACAAATGAAACACACCTATCAATCAAAGATTAACTTTGACTAACAACGAAATCAAATTTAAAAAATAATAATTTCAATTTGTGTTGCAAAATAAAAACACATTTGAGGTATTGAATTCTAGTTGTAATTTTAAACTAGTAAATAACTTCCTATAATTTAAGAACCTAAACGAAATTCAAACAAAAGCATCGCCTAGATTATTTTAAAAGTATAACTTGACGAAAGAAAATTATATTGATCTACTTTCAAAATCGACGTGTAGCAAGCACAGTTTAACATAATGACAAGGTGCATGAAGCAGGAAAACGGCTTACACAATACAGCCCGTCGTAATTCATACATCACTACACTGATGACAAAGTTGCATCTCCTCAAATCATTGTAGATCTCTGGACGGTTTGAAAATATTTTTTTCTTAAAAATTCACACGCATTATCGATTCAGTATTATCGATATTAGGGTGGTAAAAATGTCTGCAGACCACACCTTGCCAGGAGCATTGTGTTGAAGACGTCCCTAAACTTTGAGCTCATCTTAAGGAAGATAAAGAAGTTCAATATAGAAGTCTCAAAAGAAGATCATTTTGACTTGGCATGCGGCGACAAGGCTTACAAGGCAAACAAAGAGTAAATCAGTCTTGTTGTCAAGAACATTATGGGTTTTATATTTACAATATTACATTTGATAATCTCAAACACAAAGTAAAAAAAACATGCTAATTAATCTCTTATTAGGAAATAGCAAATTCGGGTAACCTTGAAAAAAAACTTAACATAATAATAATTTTTTGTGTATTTTAGATGATAGCTAATGAAAACACCGCATTGAAATGACAATCAAGATCAAAGAGTATGTTGGTAAAAAAACGACAATCATAAGTGCTTGCTGAATTCACTAAATATGCATTGTTTAAGTATCGCATTAAATCAGTGGTTCTTAACCTTTTTGGAGGTAGGGCTTACCGAACACCAATAGCTTCATATGCACATTCACAGAACCCTTCTTAATAGGTAAAATAAAATATATATGCCTACTCCCATTTAAAAAAAACGAGATATATTTTGACTGGTGCGCAAGATTTACCATCCATAAGCATCACTGTGTTAAAAGAAAGCAACCATTAAAATTTGGTTCACACACAACATAACAATAACTATTTTCCAGCTCCATTGAGCTACCCTTTGAAGCCCAGGCACCTCTTTTTATGTACTTGTCTTACATCTCCATGCCCCGACATATTGATAAATTGGTATTAGACACCACATGAAAAAAAAAGTACGTAGTTTGTACTATTCGACGAGATCTGGAAAAAAGGCTGACAGTTACAAAAGGTCAAGAGTGACAAAAGACTGACAAGACAAACAGCCGACAGAAAAAAATGCCTATAGAAAAAGCCGACATCTAAAACACCGACATTAAAAAGGCCGACTTGACATAAGACCGACATAGTATAAGGGCAATATCTACAAAGCAGACATACAAAAGACCTTCAATCCTTAAGGCCGAAAGTTTTCAATTAAATTTTATGAAAGAAAATATGTATAAATCCAAGTGCACAAAGCTTAATCCCCTCTAAAAATTCATTTGCACTTCATTTGGTTTCTTTCGTTTTATCAATAAATATGGTGTTATTGTCAACTACCTGTTTTCTCCCGTCATCTCCAGTTGCATGGAACGATTGTTACCTTATATGGATAGCAACTAGCACTACCTCTTGGCGTTCCGCTTCATTGCAAGTGGGCAATGATGCCAGCAGCCGTTGATTTTGTCTTTGATGGTTTTCTAGAGCAGAGCTCTGTAGTAACCTATATTTTACGATATATGGATTTTTATGTTTGTTGGTGTTATTGTCTGTCGGCCTTTTTGCTGGCCTTTTCTGTTTCAGGCTTTTATTCATGTCGGCCTTTTGTCCTGACAGCTTTTTGTCGTGCACCCCTATTCGACTCGATGTTAATCAAATAATAAAATTAATAATGTTTTTATATTCGTCGTCTTCATTTTTTATCGAGAGTGTTGGGTATACAGTTAGAGCAGGCGCTAGGTTAGAATTGCTCAACTTTAATTATTGTACGTTATTCAGCTAGGACGATGACTGTTGTCAAGTTCAGTTATACATGTGAACCCATATTGTAAATTTTCATCCAGGCAATTTTTGACACACTTTTTGTACAATCTTATACTTAACTTGCTTAATCTGTTTGGTCTGTCGTCATAAATCGAAACGGGCGAGCGAAATTTCGATCACTTCTAATTAACTGATTTCTTTCAAACTTGGCACGTGGGTGAATTTCTACTATTCTGAACTATTATACGCGCATTATCATGTTTACTTGGTGCGCATTAGTTTTTTTTTGTCATGAGACCCTATTGAATTAAAAAATTTAAAGTACTGAAAAAAAATGTATAGAATTATGTTTAATAACAAGCTGTTTTGTTATAATACACTTAAGTCATAAATACGTAAGCAGGTCATAATATAGAGTAAAGTAAGGGAATTACAAGTTAATGTTATCTTTAAAGTTTACTAGACTACCCGTCATCCTTTGAATAACTGTGGGTTTCGAGAGTCATCCATAAATGACATCACGTCTGTCACTTATCGTCACAAAAAAAAACAAGACCCCTCATTCAAAAAGACGTCACACCTCAGACGTTTTTGTCTTTTCTGCTGAGCATCGGACTGACCACAATATCGCTTCATGTGCTGATGTCACAAAAACAAGTCAACTCTACTTCACCTGCTCAGTGTCCCCCAAAATCAAACATGTTTTTGTCTTTTAAAACACCGATTTCGGCTGGGCATGGGTCTGACCACATTATCTGTTTATATGATGACGTCACAGGTGAAATCTACACCTACCCAACTGTACTTCACCTGCCCAGTGTCTCGCCAACATGTTTTTATCATTTTAAAAAATGATTTCGACCTAGCATGGTTCTGGCAACACTATCACTTCATATGCTGAAGATACAGAAACAGGTGAACTCTACTGCACCTGCCTTGTATCCCGCCAAGTCCCGAAAGGCAACTTTATGATTCACATCTAAAAAATAAATGAATTTTTATTTATTTATTTCGTGATGTGTTTTGAACCCGTACCACCAACATGGTAACTATTACACTATCATCTTTGCTATATATGGTCACTTACGAATAAGTGAAGAATTAGTCCTATAATTAGCTGCAAATTAAGAAACTTCCGTTAGGCGAATAGGCCCTATTATTTCAAATTAAATTATGTCTCGAATTAGCCAATTCCATAGCTAAACCAACACAGATTTTTATATAAAATAATTAATGCCTGAAATTGTTTAGAATAGAAAATAATTATTGGTATAGATTCTACTAATACTAGATCTAGATAGAGCTAGATCTGGGTCTTAAGTCTAGTTTTTCCATAACTCTAGCTCTAGATCTATAACCTAGATAGATATATCCCACATATTCTCAAATTAAGATGATTCTTGAAGCTAAAAAGCAAATATGTATATCAAATATTTAAGGACTAACATAGTTTTATAAAGAAACTCAATAATTAGTTGTGATATGATAATGTTTTTTTTTAACTAATTAATTTTGGTTAGACCTAAATCAAGATACTAGATTTTAGATCTAGGATTGACTTTCTCTTCGTCCGACAGCTGATCTCTAGATCTAGAGAAATTTATTGTATACTCAAATTAGAAGAACTGTTGAAAATTCATAATAGTGTTGGAACCTAATAAAAATTGCAAACGAACGTATCGTTAAAGTTATAGCCGATAGAAATTAGCTTTATAATACGTAAAACTTTTGCATAGGCAACAAAATCTTCGATGGAAGACGCCATTAGTGTTATAAAAAATAAATAAATCATGTGACGTCACTATAAGTAAAGTCATTTTTCTGAACTTTTATAATTTAAGTGGTCTATCTAACAATGAATATATCAATAAATTAATTAACGTCTTTAAATAAAATTGTGATTAATCGTTTGGTCAAAAAGAACATAATTATCTACCTAAATACGTATTTTACAGCTCTACACATAGTGCAGATTCTCACTTGTAACCAAACAGACAAAAAAAAAACAAATAAATATACAAACAAATAAACAATATTTAGTTTTAGTAGTATATAGATATATTTAAAGTTCCTATATTTACTAAAAAATAAATGATTGTTTTAGCATCATTATAAAATTATCTCTGGTATTTGATTACCATTCAGTAGAGAATTTGGTTGTAACAATTTAGTGCACACAACTAATTAAATACATGTTAATGATTCATTTGGCCCAAAAATGGGGTTAACACTAATGTGGTATAAATCATATTTGAAATTAAAACCAACATATTTAATTTTATACTAGAACCTACCAGATTCCAATTAAGAAAAACATTGCAAAAATACTAATAAACTAATGTATATTACATTTAAGAACATAACAAAGTAAATTGATTATATTGAATAGGGCAAACAATTAGTTTGATGATTTTGTCTACGCGAAAGTAGATAAGAGAAACATGTATTTACCAGACATACAACATGAGTATACATGTTTAAAAATTACTTTCAATCACATTTTTCAATTGAAGACTGTGGTATTAAAGGCTGTTGATTATCACTGCTGTAGAAGAAAAATAAATGGAATCTTAGTGTTTTAATATTATTTGTGTTAATAAATGCAAAATAATAAAACGTTCTATCAAGTTTTTCCACATTTTGCCAGCTAGAGCTCTACTATTTATGAGAAAATTTCGAAACAGACCTAAACACTAAAGCACACTTTTCCAACCTATTTTAGATATCGATATGCAACATGTATCAGTGCAAAGTGTCCGACAGCTCCGATTAAATTTTTAAAAAGTATTTTTTTTTATAAGGGCAGGTTAAACACCCTCCGCTACCAATTACATATTAAAGTCAGTGATTTTAGTGATTTGTTTGCCTTTTTTATCTCCTATGTTAGTTACAACTATCTTATCACTCAAAATAGTCCAAACACATAATTTTCAATTTGGGGTTTAAATTGCCCATAAAGTGATTTCGAAATCCACGAAAGCAGATTTTTGTACTTTAATTTTATTTACAAATTGTGTTCAATAATTGTATGCGACATGTTAAAACTAGCATTGGGTACCCATTTCACGTGAATTATACTCCTATATGCTTTTAATGTTATACTTGTTTGGAAAAAATAATTTATAAAATAGTTATTAGTCAAAACGCAATGTGTTTTATTATACGTTGAATGATATTAGTGAAAAAGCAAAGAAATAACTAAATAGCTAAACATCCAACACATTTTAAAAAAAGCATAGGTTACCAATACCTATTAGAAATGATAAAACCAAATAATAGACTTATTAGTAAAAACACCATATTTAATGCACACACTGATTAAGAGACGTAAATGATTCATCGAAAAACCCGGTTGTTCAATTGTATTTACGTGGATTTTTAAAGTAATTATGATGTATGTTTCAGAAGATATTAACTTAAGTGCAGGTTGGTGCGAATACCATATTGAACACATTGGTATGATGACACGATTGAAAGTTAGTGACGTAATTGTGTAGAGCGTTGGTTGCTATGAGTTTTGTGTGTGAGTTAGTCTAATCTCGATCGTCGGTGTGAAATGACGTGTGCTGGTCCATATGCCTCAAGTTGGGAGATAGATATATGTATATATAATAATAAAATGTTTGGCTAGGAATATTGAGTTTGCCTTATCTCTGAGCGGCATATATTGGACTGAACGTGAGATAGCCGTATTGGTTCCCAAGGTTAGAACTTCTCTCCCTGGTATTGGAGATGAACAAATGGTAGTTGGCCGAGTCAAGTGACTCAAACCCTCTCGCACAAACCTAAGCGTAACAATATATATACTTAGTCTGTTAATAATACAGATGGATTTAGAATTGTTTTCTTTAAAGTTAGCTCGTTTACGTCATGGTGTCACCCCACTCCTGTAATAGTTGTCGATTTGTACTTAAAAGACCATTTAACTTTAATTAACCATTAATGGAACTGGTAAAAAAAGCATTTTTCTTCTGTCTATTTCTCTTTTTTTGCCTTGGGTTAGGGTTAGGGTTAGGGTTAGGGTTAGGGTTAGGGTTAGGGTTAGGGTTACGCATGGAGATGTAAGACAAGTACATAAAAAGAGGTGCCTGGGCTTCAAAGGGTAGCTCAATGGAGCTGGAAAATAGTTATTGTTATGTTGTGTGTGAACCAAATTTTAATGGTTGCTTTCTTTTAACACAGTGATGCTTATGGATGGTAAATCTTGCGCACCAGTCAAAATATATCTCGTTTTTTTTAAATGGGAGTAGGCATATATATTTTATTTTACCTATTAAGAAGGGTTCTGTGAATGTGCATATGAAGCTATTGGTGTTCGGTAAGCCCTACCTCCAAAAAGGTTAAGAACCACTGATTTAATGCGATACTTAAACAATGCATATTTAGTGAATTCAGCAAGCACTTATGATTGTCGTTTTTTTACCAACATACTCTTTGATCTTGATTGTCATTTCAATGCGGTGTTTTCATTAGCTATCATCTAAAATACACAAAAAATTATTATTATGTTAAGTTTTTTTTCAAGGTTACCCGAATTTGCTATTTCCTAATAAGAGATTAATTAGCATGTTTTTTTTACTTTGTGTTTGAGATTATCAAATGTAATATTGTAAATATAAAACCCATAATGTTCTTGACAACAAGACTGATTTACTCTTTGTTTGCCTTGTAAGCCTTGTCGCCGCCTGCCAAGTCAAAATGATCTTCTTTTGAGACTTCTATATTGAACTTCTTTATCTTCCTTAAGATGAGCTCAAAGTTTAGGGACGTCTTCAACACAATGCTCCTGGCAAGGTGTGGTCTGCAGACATTTTTACCACCCTAATATCGATAATACTGAATCGATAATGCGTGTGAATTTTTAAGAAAAAAATATTTTCAAACCGTCCAGAGATCTACAATGATTTGAGGAGATGCAACTTTGTCATCAGTGTAGTGATGTATGAATTACGACGGGCTGTATTGTGTAAGCCGTTTTCCTGCTTCATGCACCTTGTCATTATGTTAAACTGTGCTTGCTACACGTCGATTTTGAAAGTAGATCAATATAATTTTCTTTCGTCAAGTTATACTTTTAAAATAATCTAGGCGATGCTTTTGTTTGAATTTCGTTTAGGTTCTTAAATTATAGGAAGTTATTTACTAGTTTAAAATTACAACTAGAATTCAATACCTCAAATGTGTTTTTATTTTGCAACACAAATTGAAATTATTATTTTTTAAATTTGATTTCGTTGTTAGTCAAAGTTAATCTTTGATTGATAGGTGTGTTTCATTTGTCATTCATTGTTAGAAAGATAACCTAGTCTTCATTAATTTGCCATACATTCTTCTTTCTCCTTAATTATAGTGTCAGAACAATACAATTAAGTATTAAGTGTCAACTTGTTATGCACCATATAGACTATTGACTCCGATTTCAGCCTGCTTTACTTTTTGGAATGCTTCCATAGCCTTTGTCCAACCAAACTACAAGGCAGCAGTTGCTTGATTTTGAGGTTGTCCCTCCTAGATGAATAGCCATCTCCCGCCATCGAACTCGGGACTATTCGGTTCAGCAAACATGCATTTAACCGTCCCGACCACGACAACACTGTATTGATTGATTTGTAAGTCTCGGATTGAAAGATAAATTTGTATTGATTTATATGCATGTCACAAATAAAGCCTCACGGCATTAAATATTTGGTTTTTCTTCAAGTATGCATGCACAATTTGTTCTAAGGCTTAGAATCTAAGCAATCACACTGCATTTTAAAATCACTTAGTAATTTCATTATTACACATATATTTTCACAACTTATCAGATCATTCCATCTTGGATTATTACTCACAAACAGAAACAATGAGATTAACACAAAGACAAAACGAATGTAAAAAAGAATATTTAATTTCATAGTAGGAGTCTTTGAATTGGTAAATTGAATAATTTAATAAATCAGGAAAAAGATGTAGAGAAGTTTTTAAAAGACATAAAATGGCAGTGGCGATATATATATATATATATATATATATATGTGTGTGTGTGTGTAGAAAAAGTATGAGGGGTGGGGTGCAAATTGAAAGTTTGAGGGGGGGGGTGCAAATTGAAAGTTTGAGGGGGGGGGGGGGGTGCAAATCGAAAGTTTGTCCCCGGGTAAAAATTGGACCCCCCCCTTGAGACGATCCTGGCTACGCCACTGTGTGTGTGTGATTTTCGAACTAAAGCTTGTAGCTATATAACCATAAAAGGATTACATAATTTGAAATTGCATTATACACCAAAAAAAAATTAAGAAACTTATTGGAAACAATTAGTATTATAAAATTTGAAATTACATATTTCCATTCGCCTCTGCGGCGCGTTAAAAGTGGCGACACTGCTCTACTATTTCTTGAGGTGTCATATAGCACGGTTAGGTGACAAATTGACAAGTCAGAGGTCACCTGTTGGTCTTGTGCTCTGAACCTCGGCATCAAGTGTGATGGAATCAGTCTTAAAATCATTTTAATTAGATCAAGTCAGTATTCAGCATTAATTGTCAGCCTTTTATGGTCATCAAATCAATATTCAGATTCAATTTTCAGCATTTTGTTGTCATCAAATCAGTATTCACATTTAATTATCAGATTTTCAGTGCGATCAAATCAGTAGTTTATCATTACTTTATATAAGCTTATTGCGATCAGACTAGAATCATCAAGCATTAATTGTCGCCTTTCAGTGAGCTCAAATCAGAACTCAGCCTTAATTGTTAGACTTTCAGTGTGATCGGGCAATGAATTATGATCGCTGGGCCTTGTTCTTTGAACTCTGTACCGTCAATGCTATGATGGCAGTCGCGGCTCCAGCGATAAAAAGAAACGTCCCCACACCTGTCGCACCTGCAGCTGTCTGAACCTGTGGTTGAAGGGAACAAAACATAGAAAGATTGATTAAAACAAGTCTTTAACCATTTTCTGATTATAGCAACTGCTTTTGTTTGATTTCAAAAGAACATAAACCTTTTTTTTATGATATTGATGATACCATTTGTTAAGTAAGAAGTTAGTTGAATTATACATATATATATATATATATATATATATATATATATATATATATATATATATATATATATATATATATATGTGTGTGTGTGTGTGTGTGTGTGTGTGTGTGTGTGTGTTTGTGTGCGTGTGTGTGTATGTGTGTATGTGTTTATGTATGTATGTGTGTCTGTGTGTGTGTGCGTGTGTCTGTGTGTGTGTCTGTATATGTGTATGTGTGTGTATGTCTGTGTCTGCGTTCTTGTGTGTGTATGTATGTGCTGTACAAACCTGATCGCTTTCCTTCCTGCCGTACTTGAGATTTTTGACAAAATGCTCACAGTTGTTGGTCAGCAGATGATAATCAGTCTCACCAAGCATCGATTTGGCTTTCCTCAACACCTCTTTCTCATCAAAACTCGGCCACTCACTGTACACACAGATAGAGTTACATAGTGTAAGTTTAATTCATCCAATAATGTTTCTACAGCTGAGTTTATTGTTTGCATTAATTAAAATTATCTATCAGTTGTACTTCAAGTAACAAATCTATAGAGAGGAATATATATATATATATATATATATATATATATATATATATATATATATATATATATATATATATATATATATAAACATCATTGCACAAACATTAAAAGCTTGCTCTAGTAAAGGTAGATGCAATCCATTTTAGTCCATTAAATAGAACACTAAATTCCTCTTCTGGTAATGAATAAACACCCATAACAACGAATAGTCATATTTACTCTTTGTTGGCCTTGTAAGCCCTGTCGTGGCCTGCCACAAAGAAAAAATCACCTTCTGCTACAACAGCCTTGTCCACTGGAACACTGGCCACTGATGCCACGTGACGTGACCGGATGTTGCTGGAAATGCCGTGACCGTTGTCTGGGGCCGTCAGGTGGATCACTTTACCTTTACCTGCAACAATTACATTGTACATTCAATGTACATTTTTTTAATTAAATAGTGGTAAGTCACGATACAGTTCGCTTTGAAATGTTGATTAAGTTTTCAAAACATTGGAAAGTATACATATCCCATGTCTTGCTTGTTCTACCAGAATGTGTTTATCTATAAAGTTCTGTATCTGTGAGGTGGACCAGTGATAAACATGCAGAGACTAAAAAAATGCAATTGATCGTCGTAGCGTAATATTAACAGAGTGTGATTTGGCGCCGCGGTATATATTGCGAGCACTATGCTTTTATGTTTGCATTTAAGTTTGTAATTATGTTCTACGTTATTGTTTGCGTTTAGGTTTGCGTTTGTATTTGTGTTTATGTTTGCGTTTGTGTTTACATTTGTGTTTGCTTTTATGTAAGCGGTTCTGTTTGTATTTTTTTTTTGTGTTTGCGTTTTTGTTTGCGTTTGCGCTTGTTTTTAGGTTGGGTTTAGGTTTGGTTTTGTGTTTGCGTTTGCGTTTATGTTTTGGTTGTGGTTGGTTGTGGTTTGAATTAATTCGAAAGGTAATACATTTTCTAATGCCGGGCAATGCCGGGTATATGCTGCTTGATAAATCACAAGTCACGGCCCTTTACAAATAGATTTTTCTCAGCGGCCAATGCAGGGCATAGTATGATTAACATGATAATAGTGTCTTTAGCATAATGATTGTGTCATTTACATGATGATAGTTTGAGTGACATTTGAGATATTCGGCCTTCAAACCGACCATCAGATTGTTCATGACATAGTTGTACTGTTCTATTGATTTTTTAGTGATTTTTTTTTTCGCTGCTTAGTTGTTGCTTTTTAAAAAAAATATTGATAAAGAAATAAAAAACACAATAAAAATGTATCTAATTATTGTTGATTAACAGTATGTTCTGTCTAAAATTGAAGAGTAACGCGTTAAGACTGATCATGTAACTTTGCAGATTACCTCTTGAAGAGTACTTTTAATCTGATTCTCTCTTTCACACACATATAAACACAGACACACAGAAGCACACCCACACATAACATTTTAACTAACCATTTTTATTTTTATTTATTTTTTCTTTTTTTTTTTTTCTTTTTTTTTTCTTTTTTTTTTTTTACTAACCATTACCAATAGAAATTTCTATTAAACAACTGTGTGCCATAACGATATACACTCACCGCGATTAAGCTCAACTAAAATATATAATCACAAAACAATCTTTTAAAACAGATTAAGACATTAATAACAATATTACTAAAATATTTTTTTTACATTTCATTTGCTTTATATATACACAACAAATTATATGCTGTATTATAGCTGTAGAATCATAATTACCGCAGTAAAAATTTGACATATGTACGTCTAATAGTTAGGTTTTTTTTTGTGGTTTTTGTTTTTCGGTGTGAATTATTTTGTTTCTCTCCCTTTATGACCCTTCCCCCTTAACTCACCTATATAGAGAGCGTAGTGGCTGTACCATCCACGGTCAAACTTGACGATGTCCCCAGGTTTTAAACTTCTAAAGACTGCCTCGTTGTGATCCTCTACGCTGACATTAGATCCCATGGTTAAGATTTAGATTCAATTCCTCTTGAAAAAATTTAATAGATCACAACAGCAGGCTAGTGTGTGATATCTCTTCTTTGTCGAATTTTTTTTTTACCTCTTTTCAATTATCCTGCGATGCACAATAGTATAGTAGCGACGTGAGAATGAAGTGCAGTAGCCTATTATAGTTTCCGAGGTGTAGTTAATAGTTGGAAAAACTCAGGTTATTTTTAAACCAAACGAAACTTGATGCATGCAGCGACATGCTTTACGTGGAAATTATAGGCAAACACGTTATCGGGATTTCCCGGGCAACATACACACGTTAACAATTTTTTTGTATGTATGCGGGTTTTGCTTTTAAACTAGGTTAGGGCGGTTTATTCATTTCTTTTGTGTTGTAGTACTCAGGAAATTTAAAGTTTAAGCATGAACTGGTATTACGTGGAACGTGGTCGTTTGTGATGGTCTCTCTCTTTCTCTATCTCTTTGTCTCTCTGTGTGTGTGTGTGTAAATATGTGCGAACTTGAGTATGTGTTAGTGAGTTTGTGTATGCGAATATGTGTATACTTTAGTATATGTGTGTACGTGAATATGTTTGTATGTGACTGTGTAAGTATCTGAAATTGTGTATGTGAATACGTGTGTACATTATGTGGCGTGAATATGTGTGCATGTGAGTGTATGATAATTTGTTTTAACGTGAATTTGTGTTTACCTTAATGTATGTGTATGTGTGTAAAAATAATATGAGAATTTGAAAGTTTGTATACGTGAATCTCTGTGTATATGTGAATACGTTGCATGTGTGTAAGAATATGATAGTTTGTGTTTACGTCGATTTGTGTGTATTCAACTAACTTAATTCATTCTCTAGGCCTCAGCTTCACCCTAAGGTAACCCAACCCCTGCCTGACCCTCCCGTAGGTAACCCAACCCCTGCCATGACCCACCCTAAGGTAACCCAACCCCTCCCTGACCCCAGCCGTCCCATGAGGGGTGGGGCGCCTTACCTGTGCATGCATTCACTCTAACGACTGGGGCAAGTACAATAAACTGGGGAACTAATTTTTGGCTATTCAGACTTGTTTTTAGTAAGGGAACGTACCATCAAACACACTAAGTACTATTCCTAATTACAGCTATTAAGACTTATCTAACCTACAATTACACAATATAATATTATGGACAAAACTACAATTAAAAATTGAAATAAACAATGAAAAAAGGTCGTTGTACATAATTTATATAATTCTTATAAATAAAATATAAAGTCAACAAATGTACATTTCAAAATGTTCTCAAGTTGTAAACCAGTTCGACTTTTACTTTCATTTCTTGAGTTGTGATCTTATTATGAAAAAAAAATCTAAACCTTTAATCAAACAATCGAGACTTAAACTTTAAAGATTTTTACTTTTTTTAAAATGAAAAATAGTAATGGTTGTGTTCTTGTATGAGTTAAGAGATTGCACGCATATAATTTTGCTTGATTGCATGTAATAAGGTAGGTTAAGGTTTATAATCAAATACAAGAGATAAACAAATGTTGTTGTTCAGACAATCGCTGACATGTAGGCCTACAACCTTGTATGTTCATATGAACAGGATTGGGTTTTCTTACGTGTTTACACCAGAATGTGACCTTGTGACGTGTTAACGACTATTTTACTGCAAGCGTCACGTGTTACCGTCTCAACAGTTAACAGTTTTACCTGAACATCAGCTTGACTAAAACGTTGGACATTTTGAAATTATCGGAAAATCCCGGAAATGAAGGTGGCAGGTTAAAGCGGGACTTCCCCGTCAGCAGCGACATGTAATCAGTGGGTCTACATCAGTATTTGTAAATTGTAACAATCAAGGTTGCCTTCACCCACATCTCAGTCTTTATTATTATTATTATTATTTGGTTAGGGTAACTAAAACTAAGTGAATAAACAATTCTTTCGCTGGACATCTGACTGTCTGTTGGACTATCCCATATAATCCCCTCCCCACCGTATCACCCAATCCCTTAATCCGACCTTCCTCAACTTACTAATTACCTGTTATGTCAAATAATTAATTAAATAATTAATTTATAATTAATATTTACCTAATTTACTCAATTATTGCAGTGTTAAATTGAAATCAATCGACGTTAAAAAAAAAAAACAGCCCTGAAAAGAAGTTTTTATCTTACAACACCAACACCCTAGGGGTCGTCCCTCAATGACGTCACACTCGTAGGGTGGGGGTCAGTAATCTTGTGACGGTGTGTGATGAGGGGGAGGGGTGGGTTCAGATGGTGTGACGTCACTTTTTTACATTATAAGAAAGCAATGTTAGAAAACGAGGGGGGGGGGTCTGGCTTTTTGTGACGACGTGTGACAGAGGGGATGGGGGGGGGAGGTAAAAATCGTCATATAAAGCGTGAAGTCATTTATGGATGACCCCTATCTGCTTCTTATTCTTCACCCAATTATCTAATTAATTAAAATGTCAACACCTTTATCGTTAAAATTCATTAAGTACCTATTTTAAAATGAATACAATGTCAAAATTAGATTTCATATTTTTTCTCTTTTAAAAAAAAAACATGACCGAAGAAAACTTATCCTGCTTGCTGAATGCTATAACAAACATTTTACAATTTATTTTTCACTCATTATCGTAGGCGGACGGTTTACACTTTATGAGGAATCCATTGAGCAAAACAATGTTTTTGTCTGTAGGTTTGATTGTGTGTCTGTATATGAAGATGGGTAAAGGAGCTTTAGTGTGGTGGTGTGAAAATACTGTCTTATGAGATTGGGGGAGGGGGGTTCTTTGAAAGAAGCGGATGTAAAGTTATCGAACCTTAAAGGAGTAAAATACACAGGTTCCGTGTAAGATTTTTAGATATTGGATTCATTCTGTGATATGTTTTAATCATCTTCAATCCAAACAAAACATCTGAAACATGGACGTAATTTTTTTCTGTTATAAGTAACAAACTCAAGACATGACGTGCAAAAACATTAGTTTCAGATTTATTGCCGGGTAGGCAAATGGAGCGTGACAATTAGTATAGTGAGAATAATTACAACTCGGCTAGGGAACTAGTCATTTAACTACTGTTTCTTGATTGCTTGCATCACACCTGTGACAACAGCAGTACCAACAGCAGCCAATGCCCCCAGTAACCCAGTCGTCACACTTATACCTTCGTTCACCTGTGTGATAGGGACGAGTTAGTATATTTATGTTAGGACAAATTTGTTTAGACATCGTATTTCTTGTGTATAAGGTATAATTCAAATACTTCTTTAGGTTTATGTATCGCTTCATTAATCGAATTTAAGAGTTAAAATTTAAAATGTATATATTTCAACCTCATTTTTAGACAATCTAAAGAAAAGTGATGAAAGTTAATAAAGTTTGATATAGGGTTCTAGCTAATTCATTAAAATATATTTATAGTTAAAATATATATATATATATACATATATATATATATATATATATATATATATATATATATATATATATATATATATATATATATATATATATATATATATATATATATATATATATATAGGTGTAGTTACTAAATAGGGCATATTCATCAACCTACCTGATCACTCTGTTTTCTTCCATACTTCACCTCATTAACAAAATGTTCACAATTACGTGTGAGTAGATTATATTTTGTTTCTCCTAGACTCTGCTTAGCTTTTTTCAGAACTGTCTCAAGATCAAAGCTGTTCCATTCCCTGTGGTACCAAGTAAATAAATATATACGGTAAATATAGGTATATTTAATAATGTATCTAGATACAACATATAATATCGTTATCGAGTCTGTTATAGATATGTAGGAAATGAATTGTAGTAGATTTTTAAAACATGTACTATCAAAATGGAAGTAGCAAAAGAAAAAAACGATCTATTTGAATTTTGTATTTTGTACGAGTGTATCTAGTTGATAGTTATACCATGCATGTACAGTGATTTCGTATGCATTTGTTATTGTCTTTTATTGCTCAACATACTAATTCGTCTTAATTGTCAATTCGTTACGGTGCTTTTACACTGCTTTTATTAACTGAAATCTAAAATACGCAAAATATTTTATTATAATTTTAATTATATTAATTTTTTTTTAATTGATCCCGTTTTAAAATAATTAGCTTTCTATGTTTTACTTTGCGTTTGAGTATATTAAATGTAATATTCTAAGTATGAAACCCATAATGTGAATGCCATGTAAAGAAAAATTTACTCTTTGTTGGCCTTGTAAGCTTTGTTGCCATTAGCCACCTCAAAAAAATCTTCCTCTGCGACCAGAGCCTTGTCCACTGGAACACTGGCCATAGATGCCACATTCCGTGAGTGGATGCTGCCGGACACACCTGGACAGTTGTCTGGAGCCGTCAGGTGGATCACCTTACCGTTACCTGAGTGATCAGGAACACGCCAGGTTAGGGTGACGACAGAAGATTGACATGAGCAAGTATCGAATAGCTTTTCACCTCTCTTTATCTTTATCTTGAGTATGTAATAATTGATAGCCTTGTCGCGGAGATATAATTCAAAGTCTCATGATTTTCATAGATAATATAAAGTAAACTGATTGATGAAAGTAAAATTAGAACAGTTTAAAATAACGGAATAGAACTCGTGTTTAGTAAAGGGGGACAACCCGAGAAATGACGAACACAGGACAAGCCAAAATGATTTAGGAAAATAAACAATTTTCACTTTCTCGTATATACGAAGTATAGAGAAAGTCTTGTAATCGTCCAAAAAAATCGATTTTTTTTTAGAAATCTCGACGTTTTACACCTCCCTGAGTCGGAAAAACATAGTTTTGCAATTTTGTCCGTATGTCTGTGTGTGTGTGTCTCTGTGTGTGTGAGTGTGTGTAAACACGATAACTTGAGTATCGTTACAGCTAGGTTATTGAAATTTCATATATAAGTGTTATATCAAAATCATAAATTTGTGTCAACTTTTGAGCAATTTCCGGTAACCGGATGTGGAACTTTTTCTACCTTGAAATTTTTAAAAACCTATAACTTTAGTACACTATCAGATAGATAAATTAAATTTCACATGTAAGTAAAAGATCTAATTTTCTGCCTTCTGTCAAATTTTGAGTTATTTCTGTTGAACGGATCTAGTAGTTTTTGCTATTTCCGATTTCTCAAAAAAAATGCATTTGAATTTATAAAGTACTAATAATATTCTGCACTATTATGCACATTTTATTTGGCGTTCAATTGGTGTGCAATTCTTGTTTCTACGAGATTTTATTCTATTTTAAAAAGTTAAGTATTTAAAATGGATTAATAATCATGTCTATATCTATATCCCGAATAGCCATCCCCTATTGTTTCATATAAGAATATTTAGGGGAGAGCACTCCCGGTTTATTCTTTTTATTGATATTAATATAAAGCTTAAAGTGAAAAGTAAAGTATAACTTTCTTTAAAATATACGTAAACCTTTTCTTGCATATTTATTCATAATCGAGAAATAGTAGACCTATACACGCTTCAAGATGCAAATACCGGGATTCAAACAATGTTTTACTGAGTAAATACTAACAGAGCATCCAACTTACAACCATAGACTAAAGATGCAACATACCGATGTAAAGAGCGAAGTGAAAATACACTCCCCGGTGAAACTTGACGATATCGCCTGGCTTAAGACTTGCCAGAAGTCTCTCATTGTGTTGCTTAACAAATGATTCGTCCGAGGTTGAGTTGTAATATGTGGCCATTGAACTACTTACACTTAAACTCTCGCTGTTACTGCAGCAGTTCCCTCGCTGGTCTCTACATGTGAATACCATATCTTGCTGCACTGATATATCTATAACTAAATTTGGTGCACTCAAACAATGTTATCTTTCTCTGACGTCACTGGCGAAGGCGTGTCAGTCTGTCAATCAATATTTAAAAAAAAAAAACTAGACTGTTTGGTGTAAACTTTATATAATGAACAGCAGTTTAGAAACATTTTGGAAGATCCTTTATAATAAGGCGTCCTTTTTAAATGTTATGATGTTAAAGACTTGAATACCTACTCTACCTCAAGTTCTCCTATATTTAGCAAGTCAAAAGAAGTCTAATTAAAATTTCTTTTATGTGTATGTTGCCTCCCGCATAAAGAATGCCTTTTCGTTGTATTGCAAAATAAGGGAATACTTTCTGTCAACTCCTTCACTAATCTCACATGTGTAAGATGTACTTAGACACGCCCCTGTCTTCCAATAGTCCATACGACTGCCGCATCTATTGCAATCTGTTGATTGGGATTCGTGGAATCTGATAGAGAAAGCCCTGGGGGGGGGGGGGGGGGGGGCAAATTGAAAATTGAAAGTTTGTCCCCGGGAAGGGTCGCTACGCCTCTGGGGGTGACTACATTTAGTGCCGCACCGGGTGACACCCGACCTCGCTACAACACTGCCTCCAACACAATTCAGTATACGTGTTAACTTGTTATGCGCCATATGGGCCATTCACTCAGATTTCAGCCTGCTTTTCTTTTTGGATTTGCTGCTATGGGGTCGTCCATAAATGATGTCACACGTAATTTTGTGACGGTGTGTTGTGACCTACTTAGGTCTTTTTTTTTATAATTTAGTTTTTTGTTTATGTAATCGACCTTGGGAGAGTTGTACAATCACTAGTACTTTTCCGTCACGTCATGTGATGAGATTTTAAATGGTTATTTCGAACTTTAGTAAAATCCCAACCAATAGTCTTATGACTTTTGAGTGAGCTCCCCTGGTTCCTCTCTGATTTAAAAACCCTGAACACAGGGGATCGAGGCAACCTTTTATGAGACATCTTGGGAGAGAGTGCCTGTGTGTGACGCCATTTTGTGTTACATAGTTTATAGCGGCAATTTTTCCCCTATTATTGGTGTTTCTAGTGCCATTCAGTGTTTTCGGAATTTTTCCTTAAGCTGTATTTATTATCCAATACCATATCTGTGATATTTGTAATCTAGACTAGAGATTTTTTAGCAACAGTAAGTTGTGTTTTGGTTTATTATTTACCCTTAGATTATACATTATTTTGTACAGTCCTAGTGTCACTTTTATTCCTGTACTCATATTAAACGGTTGTTGACGGATTAAAGGTGTTGTGAGTCACATCAGTTCAGCGTGTTTATACCACTAGATATTATTCTCGAGCCCACGTTGAAATTTGTTTTGTTCTGACCCTCTTTAGTAGACATCTGTCATTAGCCATTCCAAAACGAACACGGGGCGTTCGCTAGCTCTGCGACTGACAGAAAAGCGATCGTAATAGTGTGATGAGGGGGAGGGGGGGAAGTTTCAGATGGTGCGACGTCACACTTTTGCATTATAAAAATGCAATGTTGGAAAACAAATTGTTGTCGTTATTTCGCGGTTTTGAAAACTGTTTTAATAAATTGTAATAAGAATTGATCAAAATACTCTATTTTCACAAAGTTCGGACAAGATTTTTGAAAAATATCGATGTTTAAAAAAAAAATTCAACTGCTATTTTGAGGGGGTTGTAGGCTGAGGTTTGACGTCATTTTAAGGGGGGGGGGGTATCTAGCTTTTTGCGTATTAAAGGAAAGAAAAGCAGGCTGAAATCGGCGCCATTGGGTGCATAAAATGTTGACACGTAATACTTAATTGTGTTAGAGGGAATCCCTTTCGACTTTACACGTAATAATAATAATAAGAATAAGAATATAGTTGTAATTTAATATGTTTAAGTGATTATATATAAAAATGTGTGTACGTAAATAAAGTATGCGTGAATATGTTTGTATGTGAATGTGCTTGTACTTATAAATGTGTGTATGTAGATTGTGTATACATGAATAGTTTTTTACGTAGTTGTATGTGTACGTGAATACGTATGCCATATAACATTAATGCTCTAGAATACACGAGTAACATCTGGTTTAATCACACAAACGTAGATTTTGTTACATGTTGTGACGTGTTTACGACTATCCTACTGCACGTGACACTTCATTGTGTCACAAATTCAAGATTCTAATGTCGTTATCATATTCAGTCAAAAAAGTGAAAAACACAGGAAAATTAGGTAGCAGGGTAGTGAGGACATTCCCAGACAGTAAGCAAACAAACATGTTTCAGCGAAACAAAAACAAAAAAAACAGCGAGAAAAAAAAAATAACCACGTCTACCTTGATCTACATTCATGTCTTCTTTTTATATATTTAAAAAAAACACAGTAACTACAAAATAACTGTATAATAGTGTATAATACTAGCTTTTAAATGAACTAAACATGAGAGAACAAAGAAACTTGGCTCTTATTTGTTTTTATTTTTTTAAATATAAACAAGTACATTAACATCATCCATGAGCAATTTAAAACACCTTGTTTGAAAAAAACAAGTTAATTAAAAAGTCTAGTGACATTTAAGCGCAATTTCCTTATGTTATCTAAAAATAGCTCTGTCGTAGCGTAAATCAAGAGCAGGGTTAGTAAAACCATTGGTTAAAATACATGTTTTATTTACAATAGAGTTGCATGACTAAAAACCTTTGCGCTTAGCTACTGAACGTGATGACGCAGCCATTGAACGTGATGGCGCAGCTATTGAACGTGATGACGCGTGTGGTGTGGTTGGATAAAAATGCCTACTAATTCGGTCCAAATTTTAATTAATTAAAAAAAAAGTTTGTGACCGAACGAAAGGATATTTGTGAAAACTTTCTTAGGCAAGATTGTTCTAAATTATGGCAGGAATCGATTGGTACATGTTTCAAGTCGATAAGTGGCCTGGTTGCCGAGATATGGGCCAAAAACTGAATTTTTTTCGAGGTTTTTTGGCTTTTCCGGGAAATCCATGAAAGAAACTCGGAATTTTTATGGCCTATGTTCATCCTCGTAACTTGCTTAACATAATTGCTTTTGGAACTAGTCCTCGATATTGCTTCGTTGAGGAGGAGATACGACTTAAAGCTGCGGACACACATTCATACACTCATCCATCCATTCATCCATCCAGAAAAGACGGGTTAATAAACGCAATTCTCCAGAATGAAAATTACGCTAAAAACATGGATGGGAAATATGTAAATTATCTTATTTTACGTTTAAAGTAAAATATTTCAATTTTTACTTTCTCGTATATACGAAGTCTTGTAATCGTGCAAAAAAATAATCGAGATTTTTGCAATCTCGACATTTTACACCTCCCATAGTTGGAAATACATAGTTTTGCATTCTTGTCCGTATGTCTGTGTGTGTGTATATGTGTGTGAGTTTGTGTGTGTCTGTAAACACGATAACTTGAGTACCGTTACAGCTAGGCTGATGAAATTTCATCTATAAGTATTATATCAACAATTCGTAGATCCGTTTCAACTTTTGAGCGATTTCCGATAACCGGAAGTGGTACTTTTTTTACTTTGAATTTTTCAAAAGCCTATAACTTGAGTACTATTTTAGATAGATAATGAAATTTCACATGTAAGTAAAACATCTAATTCTCTACCTTCTATCAAATTTTGAGTAATTTCCGTTGAACAGAAGTAGTAATTTACGCTATTTCCAATATCACAAAAAAACGCATGTGAATTTATAAAGTACTAATAATATTCCGCACCATTATACACATTTAGTTTGCCGTTCGCTTGGTGCGCAATTCTTTTTTCTACGAGATTCTCTTCTTTTCTAAACAGAATCGAGTCAGAACAATTACACACCGTAAGTAGAAAATGTATATATGTTGTTTAGTATTTGCTAATTGTCTGTTATTATATTGCCTGTTATTTTAGTCACTGTTTCTTGATTGCCTGTTATACACCATCACACCAGCGACAACAGCAGCACCAACAGCAGCCAATGTTGCCAATAGCCCGCCCGTCAAACCGAGACCTGCGTTTACCTGAGGAACAGAAAGTCATTACCGTGAAACCAGCGTTTACCTGAGGAACAGAAAGTCATCATCGTGAAACCTGCGTTTACCTGAGGAACAGAAAGTCATTACCGTGTTATTTTAGTTAGTGCCGATTTGTTCAACGATAGCATTTCGCGGGCCCTCAACAAAATATTAATTAACAAACTTAAAATTGATTGTCACAGCACGTTCTATACGTTGAAACTACACACTACACATTGTTTTAACGGTACACGGACTTTTGAACATAGGTGGTTGCAGAGGCGTAGCGAAGGGGGGGGGGGGGGTAGATATGTCCCCGGGCGCCGACTCTAGGGGTGCAAAAATGGGTTGGAAAAAAATTAAACGCTTATTTTATCTGCAGTTTTGAATTAAAAACAGTTTAAAATTTAAAATATATGGGGGGGGGGGGGCGCCAAATTGAAAGTTTGTCCCCGGGCACCGGAAGGGGTCGCTACGCCTCTGGGTGGTTGGACGAATGTGGGGCTTTGATCACAGGTGTTTTGTTATAGATGGTTATGATTATCTTAACAAGGGATAAAGATTGGCGTAGTAATTAATTTCTCGTATACAGAGTATAGAAGAAGTATTGTAATCGTGCACACAAATCACATGAAATTTTATGTATGTTAACTACTGTATTAACCTACCTGATCACTTTGTTTTTTTCCATACTTCAGCTCATTAACAAAATGTTCACAATTATATGTGAGTATATTATATTCTGTTTCTCCTAGACTCTGCTTAGCTTTTCTCAGAACTGTCTTAAGATCAAAACTGGGCCACTCACTATGGAACCAAAAAAATAATAATAACTATATACGCTAAATTTACGTATATTCAATTTTTCTCTATCAACTGTAAAGTACAGTTTCGAACAATGTGATGCAGATGAAGTAGAGTTCAACTATTACAGTAATTTCGGTCGTGTTTTGCACATTCCATTAATCCAAACTCAAAACTTTCGGATTAGCAGTACAGGGCCTGTCCTTTATTTATCTATGTCCAACTTGCTTTATCCTAATCGTATCTTTAGGGTCAGAGGCGTAGCGATGCAGAAGGGGGGGGGGGGCGTGTGTGCGAACGCACCAGGTGACACTATTTAGGGGGGTGACACTAAGGCAAAAAGTAGTAAATTTATAGAGAAAAATGACAATTCCACTTACTTAAGTGATTAATTCGAGTGTTAAATAGTCTTTTAAGAGGTGCAAATCGAAAGTCTGAGGGGTAGGGGTGCAAATCGAAAATTGAAAGTTTGTCCCCGACCTCGCTACGCGACTGTTTAGGGTAGAGCAGGGGTCGGCAACCTGCGGCTCGCGAGCCGCATGCGGCTCTTTTGATGTCAAGATGCGGCTCTTCAGCTCCATGCACAAATATTAATAACGAGCCGACCCGCAGCGTATCATACGCCGCTATTTAGTTGTTTTATTTTCTACTTTTCAGTAATTCATAATTTGTGAATTCGACAGTACCAATGCTGCCACTGAAAATATTTGCTTTAAAACACTAACCCCACCCCCCTTTCCCCTAACTCCGACCCTACCCCCCCTACATATATATATATATATGTGTGTGTGTGTGTGTGTGTTTGTGTGCGTGTGTGTGTATGTGTGTATGTGTTGATGTGTGTATGTGTTTATGTATGTATGTGTGTCTGTGTGTGTGTGCGTGTGTCTCTGTGTTTGTCTGTATATGTGTATGTGTGTGTGCGTGCGTGTGTGTGCGTGTGTGTGTGTGTATGTATTTGCTGTACAAACCTGATCGCTTTCCTTCCTGCCGTACTTGAGATCTTTGACAAAGTGCTCACAGTTGTTGGTCAGCAGATGATAATCAGTCTCACCGAGCATCGATTTGGCTTTCCTCAACACCTCTTTCTCATCAAAACTCGGCCACTCACTGTACACACAGATAGAGTTACATAGTGTAAGTTTAATTCATCCAATAATGTTTCTACAGCTGAGTTTACTGTTGCATTAATTAAAATTATCTATCAGTTGTGCTCAAAATAACAAATCTATAGAGAGGAATGTTATGCTGCATATATATATATATATATATATATATATATATATATATATATATATATATATATATATATATATTAACATCATTACACAAACATTAAAACATTAAAACCTTGCTCTAGTAAAGGTAGATACAATCCATTTTAGTTAATTAAATAGAATACTAGATTCCTCTTCTGATAATGAATTAACACCCAAAACAACGAATATTTATATTTACTCTTTGTTGGCCTTGTAAGCCCTGTCGTGGCCTGCCACAAAGAAAAAATCTTCTTCCCTGACCTCAGCCTTGTCCACTGGAACACTGGCCACTGATGCCACGTGACGTGACCGGATGTTGCTGGAGATGCCGTGACCGTTGTCTGGAGCTGTCAGGTGGATCACTTTTCTTTTACCTGAAACAATTACATAGTACATTCAATGTAAATTTTTTTAATTAAATAGTGGTAAGTCACGATACAGTTCGCTTTGAAATGTTGATTAAGTTTTCAAAACATTGGAAAGTATACATATCCCATGTCTTGCTTGTTCTACCAGAATGTGTTTATCTATAAAGTTCTGTATCTGTGAGGCGGACCAGTGTTTGCGTTTGCGTTTATGTTTTGTTGTGGTTGGTTGTGGTTTGAATTAATTCGAAAGGTAATACATTTTCTAATGCCGGGAAATGCCGGGTATATGCTGCTTGATAAACACACAAGTCACGGTCCTTTACAAATAGATTTTTCTCAGCGGCCAATGCAGGGCATAGTATGATTAACATGATAATAGTGTCTTTAGCATAATGATTGTGTCATTAACATGATTGTTTTAGTGTCATTTGAGATATTCGGCCTTCAAACCAACCATCAGATTGTTCATGACATAGTTGTACTGTTCTATTGGTATTTTTGATGATTTTTGTTTTTCGCTGCTTCGTTGTGGCTTTTTAAAAAACATATTGATAAAGAAATAAAAAACACGATAAAAATTTCTCTAATTATTGTTGATTAACTGAATGTTCTGTTTAAAAATAAAGAGTAACGCGTTAAGACTGATCACCTAACTCTACAGATTACCTCTTGAAGAGTACTTTTTATCTGATTCTCTCTTTCACACACATACACACTCAGACACACAGAAGCACACCCACACATGACATTTTAACTAACCATTACCAACAGAAATCTATATTAAACAATTGTGTGCCATAACGATATTCACTCACCGCGATTAAGCTCAACTAAAATATATAATCACAAAACAATCTTTTAGAATAAATTAAGACATTAATAACAATATTACTAAAATATTTTTTTACATTTCATTTGCGTTACATATACACAACAAATTATATGCTGTTTTATAGCTGTAGAATCATAATTACCGCTGTAAAAATTTGACCTATGTATGTCTAATATTTTGTTTTGTGGTGAATTATTTTGTTTCTCTCCCTTTATGACCCTTCCCCCTTAACTCACCTATATAGAGAGCGTAGTGGCTGTACCATCCACGGTCAAACTTGACGATGTCCCCAGGTTTTAAACTTCTAAAGACTGCCTCGTTGTGATCCTCTACGCTGACTTTAGATCCCATGGCTAGGATTTAGATTCAATTCCTCTTGAAAAGATGAATAGATCACAACAGCAGAATAGTGTGTGATATCTCTTCTTTGTCGAAATATTTTTTTTTACCTCTTTTCAATTATCCTGCGATGCACACTAGTGTAGTAGCGACGTGAGAATGAAGTGCAGTTGCCTATTATAGTTTCCGAGGTGTAGTTAATAGTTGGAAAAACTCAGGTTATTTTTAAACCGAACGAAACTTGATGCATGCAGCGACATGCTTTACGTGGAAATTATAGGCAAACACGTTATCGGGATTTCCCGGGCAACATACACACGTAAACAATTTTTTTGTATGTATGCGGGTTTTGCTTTTAAACTAGGTTAGGGCGGTTTATTTGTTTCTTTTGTGTTGTAGTACTCAGGAAATTTAAAGTTTAAGCATGAACTGGTATTACGTGGAACGTGGTCGTTTGTGATGGTCTCTCTCTTTCTCTATCTCTTTGTCTGTGTGTGTGTGCGTGTAAATATTTGCGTATGTGTTAGTGAGTTTGTGTATGCGAATATGTGTATACTTTAGTATATGTGTGTACGTGAATATGTGTGTATGTGACTGTGTAAGTATCTGAAATTGAGTATGTGAATATGAGTGTACATTATGTGGCGTGAATATGTGTGCATGTGAGTGTATGATAATTTGTTTTAACGTGAATTTGTGTTTACCTTAATGTATGTGTATGTTTGTAAAAATAATATGAGAATTTGAAAGTTTTATACGTGAATCTCTGTGTATATGTGAATACGTTGCATGTATGTAAGAATATGATAATTTGTGTTTACGTCCAAGTGTGAGTATTCAACTAACTTAATTCATTCTCTCGGCCTCAGCTTCACCCTAAGGTAACCCAACCCCTGCCTGACCCACCCTAAGGTAACCCAACCCCTGCCTGACCCACCCTAAGGTAACCCAACCCCTGCCTGGCCCTCCCGTAGGTAACCCAACCCCTGCCTGGCCCTCCCGTAGGTAACCCAACCCCTGCCATGACCCACCCTAAGGTAACCCAACCCCTCCCTGACCCTAGCCGTCCCATGAGGGGTGGGGCGCCTTACCTGTGCATGTATTCACTCTAACGACTGGGGCAACTACAATAAACTGGGAAACTAATTAGTGGCTATTCAGACTTGTGTTTAGTAAGGGAACGTAACATCAAACACACTAAGTACTATTCCTAATTACAACTATTAAGACTTATCTAACCTACAATTACACAATATAATATTATGGACAAAACTACAATTAAAAATTGAAATAAACAATGAAAAAAGGTCGTTGTTCATAATTTATATAATTCTTATAAATAAAATATAAAGTCAACAAATGTACATTTCAAAATGTTCTCAAGTTGTAAACCAGTTCGACTTTTACTTTCATTTCTTGAGTTGTGATCTTATTATGAAAAAAAAATCTAAAACTTTAATCAAACAATCGAGACTTAAACTTTAAAGATTTTTACTTTTTTTTTTTAAATGGAATAACAGTAATGGTTGTGTTCTTGTATGAGTTAAGAGATTGCGCGCTTATAATTTTGCTTGATTGCATTTAACAAGGTAGGTTAAGGTTTATGATCAAATACTAGAGATAAACAAATGTTGTTCTGACATGTATGCCTTCAACTTTGAATGTTCATATGAACAGGATTGTGTTTTCTTACGTGTTTACATCAGAATTTGACCTTATGACGTGTTAACGACAATCTTACCGCAAGTGTCACGTCTTAACGTCTCAACAGTAAACAGTTTTACCTCGGCGTCAGAGGCGTATCCAGGTTTTCGTTGTAGGGGGAGCGAAAAGAGCAAAAAAAGGCGCCGAATTTTTAACACGTTCTATATACGTGTATTATATATATATATATATATATATATATATATATATATATATATATATATATATATATATATATATATATATATATATATAATTATTAGCTGTATGACTTTACTTCGCTATGATGTAAAATAAATTGAAAGTAGCACTCTGAAGAAATAAGAAAAAACACACAATGTAGGCCGACAAAGCACAAAAATTGTATCAATCTAAACAAAAAAAAATATACACACACTACAACCAAAAACAATGAACGTAACACAATCTGTTTTGTGATTCTTGTTTAAAAAATTATTACATAATAATTCCTGGGATATTATTTAAGACAAGTGAAATACGGCAAATAGTTACTCTCTTAATATAAATATGTATATATCTACACATTTAATTACAAATGTCATAACAAATAATTACTTTAGAATATAATAAAATTGTTTAACACCATTCGTGCTTACAAAATGTTTTTGTCTATAATCAGACTTCAATATATCGACATCATAAATGCTAAAGTATTACAGCATAATGAAAGTTTTTAAAATCAGAGTTGGTATAAAACCACGCTTTTCGATACAATGGAAAAACATTCGGAATAACAGCCTACATTTAACTAAATATCGCTCTCTTAGTTCAGATCATATATTTTTAACTAACTACTGCTTTTTTTTGTTCTATAAAGATCATTTTTAACATAGTGATAGGTATGGGTTAGATAACTGTATTGATCACACACCTTTTCAATGGTAATTGCAAAAACAATATTCGCAAGAGTTTTACGTTTAAAAAGCCAATTTTCTGGCTGCATGGTACTTTGGTGCATCATTACGCGTTTTTCTACATGTACTTAACAGATAAGTTCGGGGGGGGGGGGGGTCAACTTCATTCACCAATTTCCGGTCACTTTAGGTCAATTATCCAACCCAGTGTATACCTAGATGTGACATTAATGTCGCTCTACACAATTGTGGTGGTGAGGTGTGTGTGTGTGTGGGGGGGACGATAACCAACTCAGAGTGAACATAGCTTAAGTTTTTAGATGACTGTTCAAAAAATACATATATATATTACACAAATATATATTACACAAATATATATATTACAGAAATATATTTAAATAAATAGCAGTGGTATTATGACAATATTTTTTTACAGAGGGGTCCATGGGGGAGGGAGGGAGGGGGGGGGTTGTAACTGTTTCATATAATTTGTAATCGTAATCAATATCGCCCAAACTGTAAGAATACTAATACTTCATCGTGATGACGTTGTTGGCCTTGTCAAAATTTCCCCACCACTACTCAGTTTGCTCATAAGGAAATTTAAATAGAGGTGCCACATCAGTTGTATTTATTTCTATATTGTAATTTTTAAAAAAATTAATCACACGATTCAAACTGTATATATAAAGTAATTATGTGTGAAGTTTCATGTATATAGGGGACGGAGTGGTCTAGCGGTAGAGAGCTGGACTGCTAACCCGTAAGTCTCGAGTTCGAATCCGGGTTCAAGTCAGCAGACCGTCCCTGAGTCCACCCAACTGATGGGTACCTAACTCACGTTAGGAAAAGTAAAAGCGGCTGGGCATAGTGCTGACCACACTATCTCTTCATACTCCGAGGTCACAGAAACAAGTGAACTCTACATCAATTGCCCCTTAGACCGTCAGGTTTGAAAGGGAAACTTTTATGTATAACATTTTCTAATTCAATTATTCGTAAGCAAATACATTATACAGTTGCCTTTAACTTTACACCCCTCTTGCCAGGTGGTACTACCCGTAGAGGTTTTTTAAACATTGCAATGCATCGTAATGGTTTTTTTTAGAATGGCAAACGGATGCAGCTGTTAATACGTGTTGTAAACATAGACACTACTAGACTAGTACAATAATGCTTAATTGCTGCATGAAAAGAAGTCTTGTGGTTTACATAGTTGTTCCGACCAAAAATATTTTTTTACAAATATTATTGTTTAAAACTTTGAGTTTAAAAAGTTTCCAAAAAGGCGCCACTTTGCTGAAAATGGCCGCTCCCCCTGCTCCCCCCCCCCCCCCCCCCCCTGCGTACGCTACTGCTCGGCGTCATCTTGACTGAAACGTAGGGAATTTGAAAATTATCGGGAAATCCCGGAAATGAAGGTGGCAGGGTAAAACGGGACTTCCCCGCTTACAGCGACATGTAATTTATTGTAATCAGTGGGTCTACATCTGTATTTGTATTTTTAACAAACACGTTTGCCTTGACCCAAATCTCAGTCTTTATTATTATTATTATTATTTGATTAGGGTAACTAAAACTAAGTGAATAAACAATTTTTTTACTGCACATCGGACTTTCTGCTGGACTATCCCACACAATCCCCTCCCCACCGTATCACCCCATCCCTTAACTCGCCCTTCCTCAACTTACTAATTACCTGGTATGTCAAATAACTATTAATTTTATAATTAATATTTACTTACTTTACCCAATTATTGCAGTGTTAAATTGAAATCAATCGACGTTAAAAAAAACAGCCCTGAAAAGAAGTTTTTTCTTACAACACCAACATCTTAGCTGCTTCTTATTCCTCACCCAATTATCTAATTAATTAAAATGTCAACACCTTTATCGTTAAAATTCATTAAGTACCTATTTTAAAATGAATACAATGTCAAAATTAGATTTCATATTTTTTCTCTTTTAAAAAAAAAACATGACCGAAGAAAACTTATCCTGCTTGCTGAATGCTATAACAAACATTTTACAATTTATTTTTCACTCATTATCGTAGGCGGACGGTTTACACTTTATGAGGAATCCATTGAGCAAAACAATGTTTTTGTCTGTAGGTTTGATTGTGTGTCTGTATATGAAGATGGGTAAAGGAGCTTTAGTGTGGTGGTGTGAAAATACTGTCTTATGAGATTGGGGGAGGGGGGTTCTTTGAAAGAAGCGGATGTAAAGTTATCGAACCTTAAAGGAGTAAAATACACAGGTTCCGTGTAAGATTTTTAGATATTGGATTCATTCTGTGATATGTTTTAATCATCTTCAATCCAAACAAAACATCTGAAACATGGACGTAATTTTTTTCTGTTATAAGTAACAAACTCAAGACATGACGTGCAAAAACATTAGTTTCAGATTTATTGCCGGGTAGGCAAATGGAGCGTGACAATTAGTATAGTGAGAATAATTACAACTCGGCTAGGGAACTAGTCATTTAACTACTGTTTCTTGATTGCTTGCATCACACCTGTGACAACAGCAGCACCAACAGCAGCCAATGCCCCCAGTAACCCAGTCGTCACACTTATACCTTCGTT